GTTGTATCATCCAAATAGTTGTGCACGGTCAGTCCTCTCTCTGCTGTCATTCAAAACCGGAAGTTGTGATATGACTCCAAAATAAGAGCACATCAAAATAGACTGGGGCTACTGTAACCAAAGTGTTACCATAGTCCAGACCTGGGCATTAAGCAGCTTTGGTTGACTCTAAACGACCGCTTTAAGATAACTTAGGATCACAAAATAAACATATTTTATCATTTTACCTCATGCTTGGACCAAAGCTGCATTTCTTTTATTTTAGAGGTGTTTTTTTATGACAGTTTTTGGCAACCTCACTTTTTCATTGCTTAATCGTAACATTTACTCTTACCAGTCTTACCAGCTTGTCAAAACAATGATATTTATTGATTTTTATAAAGAAATACAATTAATATTTTGCAGAATTGAGTTAAGCATTTTGGCCTGGTCCTCCACAATATTTTCTGTTTCTCATATGGCCCCATGGAAAAAAATAATTGCCCACCCCTGCCATAGACTGTATGTGTGATACCAATGTTGTGACCTGACGAGCCCATGGGCCAGCCTTACCAGACCAGCCAGAACCACAGGCTTTGACAAAACTTTACAAAGGTGATTATTTATTTATGTATTTATGTGTTTATGTATTTATTTAGTTTATTTAGGAGACAGGGCCAGTGTACAATATAGACTTAGACTAAGACAAACTTTATTGATCCACACGGGAAATTATTTGAAACGAGGGAAATTATTTGATATACATACATATACATTATAATATACAATATGCATTAACCTTATCAGGAGAGATGCACTGTGCCAGGTTATAGCACTAGAGTCCCTGGTGCATGTTTTTTTTAGGATGATTCCAGCAGAATGCATAAGGGACTGGCTGGTCAGGCAAGTGCTTCCTCATAGTTTCACATTCCTGGGTGATTAGGAAATTCATTTAAAAGAAAACATTTGTACAGAGTTTTACAGTGATGTCACAATATGTACATGCTATTAGAAGTATAAAACTCATTTCAGCTGTAGCAAATGGGAGATAAATTAGTGACTTTCTTAAAAAAAAATAATAATAATAATCTATGTAATCTTAAATTAGAGTGATCAGATTTTCAAAACAAAAAACTAGGACATCCCTGGTTTGTGGTGTTTGGTAATAATAAAATTCAGTATAAGTCACATTTTCTTTGAGTTTTGGTCATTTTCAAGCAGCTTTTCTGTATTTTACCTTAAAAAAATGACAATGTATGCCTTTTCTTTTTTTCTTTCTTTTTTTTTTACTGTTGGCAGGTATCAGATTGGTCAAAAATAGCGACTCCTGGAACATTTTTTGTATAAAACTGGGTCAAATCTAGGACATGGGACACAGGGCTCAAATTTGGGACCGTCCTGGGAAAATAGGAAGGTCTAATCACCTTATCTTGAATGCTTAAAATGTTAGGAAGGGGAGTGCTACAACAGCAGAGACGTAAATGGAAAAATCTCCCGCCATGAGGTTAGCGCGCAGTAGTGGCTTGAGCCTGCAGGGGGCGCACTGGACACACTCATCACAGTACACAGGAGCGGACAGCGGAGAGCTTTGTGCTGAAAACTAACCCAACCTGTGTCATACAAATGAATTAAAACGGCCTACTTAAAAGGTAAATACATGCTGGGAAGTGTTTGATGGTGTGCGGCGTCTTTTAGCGTATCAGTATGGAGAAATTGTAATTATTTTGCATTGTTGGTGTGTTCAAAACCATCTGTGAGGGCAAGTTGTGGAGAGGAGGCTCAGGGCGGCCGTAGCAGCCCTTCGTAATCTAGCGGCAGTCCACAGCGATGCTTGAAGTTCAGAAAGATTGTGACAAGTAAACTGGCTTTATTTTAAACTTAATAAAGTAGTCGGATTGGATTTAAAACACATAGATTGGTCATAAACGTGGCTGCATGAACAAGTAATCATAGCATTTATAGTTCCCTCTGGGTTAGTCTGAGATGTGGTGAGCACCTGAATAGTTTGCGGCCTAAGCTAACCAGTTAGCATTTTAGCCACTTTTTGCGGCTACTAACTCTTCCTTCCCTCAAAAAGCTAAGTGTTTGTCCAGCGATGTGATGGAGAGCTAATTTGATTACAGAAGACTGGACCGCGCCATGAAAACCCATCTTATATGATTAAAACACATTACGATTGTAGTGATGATTTGGTCGGTTCTGCGCTCTTCTGTGTTGGGGTTTTAGCCACACGCTGTAGCTTTTACATTGTACTGTGTAATTGGCTGTAATGTTGCAGTTATAAAAGTTGACGCAGAGTATCATATGCACTCGTTTAAAAGAAAATGGCATGCTATTTGAAAAGAGGTGTAACAATATAGATTTTTGTCAAGAGCGGTGGTGTGGTTGTACTGAACTTTTGTTTTGTGACCCATAGAGGCCAGTAAAAGACCGTGTGAACCGCACATCCAAAACAAGCATGGACTTCCCACAGCAGCAGAGAGCAGCAGGGGATGGGAAGGTGGTGTACCCCCCCGGAGTAAAGGAGATCACGGACAAAATCAGCAATGATGAAGTTGTAAAGCGACTAAAGGTAAATAAATACATTTACAAACATTATGTATTGAGTTGTATAACCCACACCATACAGATTCCCCCCATTCCCCTCTTTGACCCCAATCCCAGTCGTCCTGTCAAGCAATTCAAAGCATTATGAAGTCAGCTGTTTGATCATGGACTTAATTATAGTCTTCTTGGTTGGCTTCTTGGTGTCTCATTTATTGGTTGGACAGTTTTTCCACTGTTAATTGTAAGCTTCTGTTAACGGTTGTACATGATGTAAAATCTGTGTTTGAAAGTATAATCTAGCTGAAACCTAGAAGGGCATTTGATTAAACCTGTATCAACCATAATCAAACTCTGTTATGCGATTTGGCAATAATGACTGATAATCTTGGTTGTAACTTGGAAAGTATCTGTTGAGATATAATATGGATATCTTATACGTTTTTGTGCTTTTGTATCCTGTTGGGGAAGATGCATCTTCAGTTTCAATGTCCTGGGACTCTAATGTTTATGAATGATGCAAAGTTCTCATTCAGAGGGGGGTTGGTTGTTTACCTGCTTTACATGGGAGTCTTTGTGTTGACTTTGTCAGTAGCATCAATGCATTGTTTTAACAAAAACCCTCATGTCTATATTGATCTTTGTACTCTGCACACTATTAAGCTGTGGTTATTCCTATAGTATTACAGAGAATAATGTATGTATAGATTAAGTGTTTACAGAAAGCCGGGTGAGGGTAAAAGGCATAAACTGGCCCACTGAGGAGAGAAGCAGCTTGTATTAAGATAAATACAATGGTAACTAGTAGGGATGGGGCAAGATCTTGCGAGATAAAATTGACGGAAGACTGTGCACACATGTGGAGAACAATATTTTCCAACAGCTATATTTGGAATGAACAAAAGAGAAACAACTGTGTTTATAATGAGAGTAACCAATATAAAATGAGGCCTAATTGAGAACATTTATGTAATATAAATTATGTTAAAATTTCATCTTGTTCTTGAAGACCCAATCTTGTGTCTCGTTTTATGGTTGCGTTGTACCCCTCGTAATTAGCTGTGTTGTGACAGCATTTGATCCCTAATTTGATCAGAGCATGACTGGTGTATCATGTGACATTTATTGCGAGAGCAAAGGATTTATCTCATTTATTTATCAGCTTTGAGTTATTAGTCACTGCACTGATGAAAGCAGGAGAGGATTCTGGTAAAGCACCCAGAGTGTGTGCACTGTTTGTAATTACATAAAAAAATTTCCCTCACTCTGTTTTGAACAAGTCCCTAAAATGCACTTAAGACCTCTTTATTCAAGGAGATTATCTATTCCTGTCTTAAGGGGGTGTGTTTTGTGACTGGTGGCATGGACCGGCCAGTCTGGACCAAATACTTTTTGTTCCTTTTTGTTTCTTGTGCAACAGCAGCTTTGGTGCAGTCGGCACTATGCACTTCCCTGGTTTGGAACGCATCGTTATGGAGAGACAGTATCTGGCCGTGTCACTTCCACTGTTCCTTTGTCAGTAAACGAAAATTAAAATATCCTTGAGCCAAGCTTTTATCATGATTTGTGTACAATTGTTGCTTTATATTTTGAGATTGACCCGATAAAGTGTACTGCTTCACAGAAGTAAAGCATAAGAGATACATTTGTTAATATTTATAAATGTATAATATTTATAGAGCTCAAGATGGACAGTAAAAAAAGCTGCTGGGTCACTGATGTTATATTTATTATACTAGAGTGTCAGAATACTTTTGAATGGACTTTAGTATGTAGCGTCTTAAAATCTATATTGGTGTATAATTAGGCTAAGTGAAAGTTGAGCAGTACCCTTTTAGTATTCAAATAAGTAAATATAAACTTTGAGCTTGCTTCATTCACAAACTTTACTGTAGCTTTTAACTCACTTTTAAATACTTTAAATATTTTCCTAATTTGTAACTGGGGGTGGGTTATATGCCCCAAAAAATCTAAATTTTCTCGGAGCCAGATCATGATTTAGATTTTATTAACATTAGCATGTAAATTCAGTTTTGCTTTTAAGACTTTAAGACTGACTTTTAAAGTCAGGTACTTCTCCTGAGAGTTCTGATTGGTTAAATCCACCTGTCACTCACTCAGAGCCCTACAACGTCAGTCTAATAGGAGGAGAAGCTGAAGAAAGTCCCTTAATTTGAGTTGAATTAAACAGAGAAGCTCTGAATAACAAAATAACGATTTCTCTAGTAGTACATGTTCACAGGGATGAGATCACGATTCATTATAGCCTCATCTCCACTGGTTCACTTTGGAGCAGATCCGTATGGGTGTCTCAACGGTCTAAAGTGAGACTTACCTCAGAAGTGGTCCCTGGAGGGGTACTATCCGGGCTGTACCAATACGATACTGATATCAGATCATGCATCCAATATCCTTATTGCACATATCATGTTGTAATAAGACAATTTACTTTATGTGAACTTACATTTAGGTGAAGCTTTTCAGTAGTTACTTGTGGGATAAATATCAGCTACATAACACATTTGGATCAGTTCTGTCTTGTTTTTATTTTTGTTCTAAAGGAAATTAATGACCAAATGAGATGATTGGACAAGAGAGAACAGAGTCAGAGATGGTAAAAATAATAATTTCTCACCAAATACTGATTTTATTTTGTGAATAAACTGTTTTTCCAGTTATGGAAACAACCAAAGCTAGCACAAATGCAACAGCTCTGTATGGATGCACGCCAACCATAAAAAGATCAGATATTTCCAGTGCATAATGCATCTACCATGAGCTACTCCCAGTGCATTACTAAAAGAGAGGTTAAAACATTGCACAGAGAAATTAAATAAATGCAGAAAACTGCAGATAAGCCAGTACTGTGGCTTTAGCCTCATCTCGAGCCACAGACATGGAATTGTCTTTCTGTGAATTACTGAGATGGGCCATGCAACTATGAGTACAATTCAGAAGAAAACATGAGTTATGTTTGGGTGACGTCAGTTGCTCACATAGCAGAATCCTGTCCCTGGACCCGGAGCCATATTTGAAGCACAGAAACCCAACTCGGCTAGAGGGAACAATACCAGACACCCACTTCAATGTGGGCTTGAGCGGACTGTGCCAGTGGAAAGAGGCTGTATCACCCAGCCCTATGTGACTATTGTTTGCTGCAGTCCGTTTATGTTTACTGTATCAGAATAAGAAGGATTTTTGGACTGGCAGCTTGGTTTTTCCAGGAAATGCATTCTCTGGTGGGCCTTCGTGATGACTGAACTGATGGTGGGCACTGGGCACTCACTTGAGGTTGTGCGTGATGGTGGTGCCGAGGGAGCGACAGGAGTCCAGGTTGTTGTCACGAGCCGGTCCATCTCCTTCCTGCAGGCAGACTCATGGACATTGGAGAGGAGCCCAGTGAGAGTGGTGTCATCTGCAAACTTGGTTAGTTTTACAGAATCATGGCTGGAGGTGCAGCAGTTGGTGTACAGGGAGAAGAGCAGAGCAGAAAGCACACAGGCCTGTGGAGATCCTGTGTCCAAGACATTCTTCCCCAGCTGCACACGTTGCCTTTGTCTGTCAGGAAGTCTGTGCCCAATGTTGCCTCTGGACATTCATTCTGTGATAATTATGTAAAGTCATCTGAGCACTGTGTAGCTTGTCAGTGGCACTAGCACTGGCTGCTTTTGTAGACTATTAAACTTAAGGGCAATTTGATTGTGTGAATGTAGCTCTAGACAGTGGAGGCAAACCTTATTTTTCCAATCTAAAACATGGCATGTTTTTTAAAATGTAAAGACTTTGTCTGTTAGTACCATAGACTATACAATCTATGGTTAGTGAGCCTTCACTTAAGATTTATTTTAATTGATTTTAGTATAAAATCTCCCCTACCTGCAAAATGGAAACCCCCATAGAGTCACTGAAAAGTTTTTTATTATTATTATTATTGTTCACCTGAGCAAAATGGACATTTGTATTTTTCTGATTAAAGAGGGATTATTGCATTTCTGTGGGGTACAAATTTTTACTTTATAACATATTTAGATAACCATGTTACCTTTTGTTTTGAAAATGCTATATTAGCCAAAACAACTTATTAAAATGCGGAATTTGTTTCAGTCCTCACTTCCCTTGCTAAGTCACTCCCCACTTCACAGTGTGCATTCCTTTAATGAAAGTATTACATATCACATCAAGTTTGTGAAGTTATAGTAGTATATTGTATTAAATACTGTATATTTATGAAAAATTGGGTTGTGTAGGCTTGTGGGGTGAGCCTTGCTCAAGAACCGTGGACCCATACCACTAACCATAATTGGGGTTCAAATAGTGCCCAGGAGAGATCACAAGATTACTCAAACATGCATGGATGACATGTAAAACCACTTCAGGCTTGTTTTGAACATTATAATATGGTAGAAAGCTCAAGTTTTGCATAATACCATCTCTCTAATAATCATGGAAAACATTGTTAAAAACTCATAAAAGTTGATTTTGCATAATGTATATAAATATATCCGGCTGCAGACAGTTATTTTCAGTAAACATTTTCCCCTGGCTGTAGCTGAAGGAGCTGTGACTGTGTGTGTGGAACAGAGTGAGTAGTTTGTGGCACTGCTGCCCCTCCCCCATCCCGGCTCTGCATTCTTCCTGCAGACATAGCTTTCCACACTACCTGGTTGTTACCGTAATAACTAAATAGTGGTTTAAAATGACATTTCAAAATGCTTATTTGTAGTCTGGAGGGCAGCTTCATTACTGATTCAGAGGTACTGTTATTGTCTGGTGTGATGGATCTAATGCACATTTCTTTAAAGGGGCACTAATATTGAGGAAAGTCATAATTTTTACATACAGTGAATGAACTTGTACCAGTGTAATGTGATGTGCAACTGCTCAAATGAAAGTAGGTCAAGGTATGACCATGCACTTTGCTCTTTGGTGTTGGTGCTTGTTCTCCATCTCTGATAACCACATCAAATCTCCTCCTCACCTTTCTGAGTAACTGAAAAACTGTTGGCTAATGCTTGCTAGCTTGTGACTAATTCTGTGTGAGAGACTTGTTTAACATCACAAATCATCTCACCTGTTGTGGTTACAACTAAGTCGGCTCTTTATGGTCAGATTGTGTTCTAAGCTCAGGTTAAAGTCGGCTGAAATGTTGACTTCGACTGCAAAGTACACACTTGATCAGAATCTCTTTTATTGCTCTTCTCAGTGAACAAAATTCACAACCTTGGAACTTGCTTTTCAGCTTCTTACTACTTATTTATTAAATTAAGGTGTTTATATCTTTAGGATTTATTGTAACAATACTGAAATGTCTTTTTCTTGAATGAAAAGATGGTGGTGAAGACGTATATGGACATGGACCAAGACTCTGAGGAGGAGAAGCAGCAGTACCTCGGCCTGGCTCTGCACCTTGCCTCTGACTTCTTCCTCAGAAACCCAAATAAGGATGTGCGCCTCCTGGTGGCGTGTTGTTTGGCTGACATCTTCAGGATATATGCCCCCGAGGCTCCCTACACCTCCCATGACAAACTCAAGGTGAAATAACTGACAGGAAATTTGCAGCTAAAATATTGAATGTTTAAAATGTAGATTCCATGGTGATGACTTTATTTTTGGGCCTATAGGAGATTTTTTTATTCATCACTCGGCAATTAAAAGGCTTGGAAGACACTAAGAGTCCTCAGTTCAACAGATACTTCTACTTGCTGGAGGTAACACTTTTTTGAATAACTAAACCTAAAGAGTTAATCAGCGGTCAATATATAAACATGATTTTTTTCACTCATTTTTCAGAACTTGGCATGGGTCAAGTCCTACAACATATGTTTTGAATTGGAGGACTGCAATGAAATATTTATCCAGCTTTTTAAAACACTCTTCTCTGTTATTAAGTAAGTAACTTAAAGGTGCACTATGTAACTTTTTGTTTGGGGGTCTGTTGCCTTCTTGTGTCTGTGGATATGTCATTGCTCTGCCTGGAATGTTCCACGGTATGACACTAAACAGCTCTAGCTTACATTTATTCAGTTACAGGTGGTTTTATAGCTCAGGAATACTTGGGGAAAAAAAACATTCTGACTGAGCGGGGTTGCGTCACCACTGATCTCACCTGTAATTTGGTCTTATTTATAAGAAGCTACTCTTAGCTTTGTCAAAAATATTTTTCTTTACTAAATAATTCCGTATATCTTGCCTCATATATGTGATGTATTATATAAAAATGTAGAAAGTAGTAAAATTAAATGAAGAAAAAGAGAAAAAACACATTGATTGAGGGTGTGTGTCCAAACTTTTTATTGGTAGTGTGAATAAAACTAATACAATTTGCATTTGATTCCAATGTCCACAGTAACAGCCATAACCAGAAGGTGCAGCTTCATATGATGGACCTGATGAGTTCAATCATCATGGAGGGAGATGGAGTCACACAAGAGCTGCTCGATACCATCCTCATTAACCTCATACCTGCACACAAGGTAGAAAAACAATGAGAAACTAACTGTGGACTAAATGCGACCTATTTAGAATGAATATAAAGTCATAATAATAACTTTTTTTACAGAATTTGAACAAACAGGCCTATGACCTTGCAAAAACGCTGTTGAAGAGAACGGTTCAAACTATAGAGGCATGCATCGCAAATGTAAGAGTTAAATTAAATACAAAAATAACAAATTCTGTTTATAAGTTCACCACATTCTGTACCTAACTAGTTGACATGGCTTAACATTTTGTCTCCATAGTTTTTTAATCAAGTTTTAGTGATGGGAAAGTCATCAGTCAGTGACCTTTCAGAGCATGTGTTTGACCTCATCCAAGAACTTTTTGCCATCGACCCAATGCTGCTCACCTCAGTCATGCCTCAGCTGGAGTTTAAACTTAAGGTAACTACTAACCCATAAGTCGCACTCTGAACTCAACAAACCAGTCTGCATCTGTTATATGTTTCTGTCATGTTACACAAAAGTGCATTATACCAGCATTCATTTCAGAATATGTATTTTCTTTTTTTGGTTCTTGGGCTCTTTCGGTCATTTATGAGCTGAATAATCACATACTAATTTTGACTGACAATGTTGGATGACTCACAGAGCAATGATGGTGAAGAGCGCTTGGCTGTGGTGCGGTTGTTGGCAAAGCTGTTTGGGGCTAAAGACTCAGAATTGGCCTCTCAGAACAGGCCTTTGTGGCAGTGCTTTTTAGGACGGTGAGTTTCATGCAAAAATACAAAGAGCCATTACACTATCTCGCGCATGTTGGCCTTATTAACTATATTTGTCCCTTGAGTCAAATCTCAGGGTTTTGTGTGTTGTGATACTGATTGTAAATGCTTCTTCAAAGGTTCAATGACATCCATGTTCCAGTGAGACTGGAGTGTGTGAAATTTGCCAGTCACTGCCTCATGAATCACCCAGACCTGGCCCGGGATCTCACAGGCAAATGCTGACTACTTTGTTCATAATGACAGATGTAATCAAAGTGTTTCATGTTTGTGTAAATGTTGCTGTTTTCTTTTACATTTTCCAATCAGAATACTTAAAAGTACGCTCCCATGACCCTGAAGAAGCCATCCGTCATGATGTCATTGTCACCATAATCAACGCTGGAAAGAAAGATCTCAACTTGGTCAATGACCAGCTGTTGGGATTTGTTCGGGAACGGACCTTAGACAAGAGGGTGAGCTCAAAGTTCTTCATATGCAGAATTCTCCTGAGAATAGTTTTTTCTGAAAGTGGATGGTTGTGATAATTTTCTGTTGTAGGCCCACAATCTACAATAGTCGGTTGTAGTTGGTGTAATTGGTGTTTTATCAATAGAAATTATGGAGGAAAACCATTATAAAGCACATACAAAAGATGTTACATAATCCCACCCCATTTAAAAAATGTAGGACTGTATTCCTATGTGTAAATGCAATTATTAGTGCATTTAATAAGTCTTAATTCTCTTTGATTACAGTGGCGAGTGCGTAAGGAGGCTATGATGGGTTTAGCTCAGCTTTATAAAAAATACTGCCTTCATCATGAGGCCGGTAAAGACTCTGCCTTGAAGATCAGCTGGATCAAAGACAAACTGTTACACATCTACTATCAGAACAGCATCGATGACAAGTGAGTCCAACATCTTTTATTTATGTTTTAAATCATTCATGATTCATTAAGCTAATTCACAAAAGGCACTAAACATCTTAAACATTTGTGTCCTTCAGATTATTAGTGGAAAAGATCTTTGCTCAGTACATGGTTCCCCACAATCTGGACACTGAGGAAAAGATGAAGTGTCTATATTACCTCTACGCCTGTTTGGACACAAATGCTGTCAAGTCAGTAAAGCCAGCAGATCTACATTAATGCCAGTGTTCAACAGTCATATTTACAACTCTCTTGTTTTTCTCTGAAGAGCCCTGAATGAGATGTGGAAGTGTCAAAATACACTTCGAGCCCTTGTCAAAGAGCTGCTGGACCTTCACAAGCTTCCTGTGGTAAGTATCACTAGTACAATCCAGTTATATTCACAAGCTTGTAGTATTCACCATATATGGTCTTTACTTTCTTTTGTAGTCTGAAGCCAATAACACAGCCATGCTTGGGAAGCTGATGAATATAGCCAGTAAGTTTTAGTCATTGCCTTTGCTGTCTGATTTTTATTTTATTATTTAAAGGTCTATATTATGCAAAATTGACTCTTGTGAGCTTTAAAGCTATAAGTTATAACGTTTTTACCTCATCAAAAACTTACCCACAGGCTTCACATTTTCTAGCAGATGGTTTTATAGAGAGTTATAATGTTATTACCTCTTCAAAACTGGAGTTGTGTTTTATTTCATTCACAGATCTTTGAGTAAGTCTCATTATTAGTCCATCTACTTCTGAAAATGCTCTTGTCCACCTTGTAATGTCATGCAGCTGTAGTCTTCATGTTCACAGCTACCTTTGGCCTTTAGTTCAGTAGAGATTACCAATTCTAGGACTGAAATTATCCAATTGATTCTAGTGAAGGTGTATGGAGTTTAAAAACACAGTGGAGCACTTCCTTTATTACCACATGACATCACAAGCTAGAACAGAGTATTTTCCGTTTGAGAGTCTAAATATGCAGGATTTGTGTGTTAAACAATACACAACTCCAAGTATGTTTTGACAAGTCAACAACATTATAACAGTCCAGAAAATGAATTGTAATGTAATAGTAATATGGTCCTTTTAATTCAGTCTTGGCTTGTGTCATTATTCAAACAAACAAATTCTATATTCAGAAAACTTGCCTGATGCTGGAAAGGCCCAAGATTTCATGAAGAAATTCAATCAGGTTCTGGGTGAAGACGAGAAACTCAGAGGACAACTTGAAATGTTGATCAGCCCAACATGCTCCTGCAAACAGGCTGAAGTCTGTGTGGTAAGAAAGAAATACAACTATACTAGAAAGTCACAAGATCTGACGCTTTGTATGTTATGATAAAGCATATGGGGTAATTGTGTTTTTTTGTTTTTTGCAGAGAGAAATCACAAGAAAGCTAACATTTCCAAAACAGCCGACCAACCCATTTCTAGAGATGGTCAAATTCCTTTTGGAACGCATTGCCCCTGTGCATATAGACTCAGAAGCCATCAGGTAAGGGACTATTTATTTATGTATTAGGTTGCTATGACTCTATCCCTAACCCATAAAAACAAAAAATAATGAACTGCTTTGAATGTTCTATATTGACCTATAAAAAGAAAAATTTTTATTGATGGAGACACCTAGTGGTAGTGAAGTGCGAATGCAGGGAAACTTCCTGTATTTAAATTTATAATATGTAATACAATATTCCTTTTTCAGTGCCCTTGTGAAGCTGTTGAACAAATCTATTGAGGGAACAGCTGATGACGATGAGGAAGGTGTCACTCCAGACACAGCAATTCGTGCCGGACTTGAACTCCTCAAGGTACGTAGGAAAAGTCTGATACAACCTTCACCAGCATAAAACCCAACTGTCTTATTCATCTCTCCTCACAGGTCCTGTCGTTCACTCATCCAACTGCCTTCCACTCTGCAGAGACCTACGAGTCTTTACTCCAGTGTCTAAAGATGGAGGATGACAAAGTGGCCGAAGCTGCAATCCAAATATTTAGGAATACTGGGCAGAAAATTGAGGCAGAGCTCCCACAGATAAGATCGTAAGACAAACCAAAATATTAAGTTGTGCTGTAACGTTAATGATATTGTATTTTTAGTGGTGAATTCGGTGATGGTAAAATTTATGTATTGGTTTTTTTTTTTTTTAGCACTCTGATTCCCATCCTGCATCAGAAAGCAAAGCGTGGAACTCCTCATCAAGCTAAACAAGCTGTAAACTGCATACATGCCATTTTCAACAACAAAGAAGTGCAGCTGGCACAAATCTTTGAAGTAAGACAGTGATATAATGAATTATGCTCTAATATTATATAGATATGGTTTACTAAAAGGAGATTGTGTGTCCAACAGCCACTCTCTCGCAGTCTGAACGCTGATGTCCCAGAACAGCTCATCACTCCCCTCGTGTCCCTCGGTCACATCGCGATGCTCGCTCCAGATCAGTTTGCTTCACCCATGAAGTCCATTGTGGCCAACTTCATTGTAAAGGACCTGCTCATGAATGACAGAGTATGTATGCTATCATATACCTATTGGTAATTTCACAATAACACTGACTAAGCATCACCTAATATCAGGCTGTAAAGTTGATATACTTTTTATTCTCATCTTCAGACAGTGGGAAACAAAAATGGCAAATTGTGGTCCACAGATGAAGAAGTCTCACCTGAGGTTTTAGCTAAAGTAAGTTTCTTTTTCTTCTCTTTCTGTCTCTCTTTACGTGAGAACATTGCTTTACTTTAGTTTTTCTTTTAACTTCTTCAGGTACAGGCCATCAAGCTTCTTGTACGTTGGTTATTAGGCATGAAAAATAACCAGTCCAAGTCTGCAAACTCCACTCTTCGTCTGCTGTCTGCCATGCTGGTCAGTGAAGGGGATCTCACTGAGCAGAAAAAGATTAGGTACAGAATATTTTGATACTATTATTAAGTAATTTTCTTTATTAAATATTCATAATAAAGGTGTAAGTGAAATGTAAGTTATTCTGGCTTTGTGTTTCCAGCAAATCTGACATGTCTCGCCTGAGGTTGGCAGCAGGAGGTGCTATTATGAAGTTGGCCCAAGAACCTTGTTACCATGACATCATTACACCTGAACAGTTCCAGCTCTGTGGCCTTGTTATCAATGTCAGTCTGTGCATATTTCACTACCACTTCATAATAAATTTCATTTAATTTCTAGTCTATTTAAATTATGTACTTGTCTTTTTTTTTTCTTTTTTTTTTAGGATGAGTGCTATCAGGTGCGGCAGATCTATGCTCAGAAGTTGCACCTGGCACTTGTCAAACTGGCGTTGCCCCTGGAGTACCTGGCAGTCTTTGCCCTCTGTGCCAAAGACCCAGTGAAGGAGCGCCGTGCCCACGCCCGACAGTGCCTCCTCAAAAACATCTCCGTCCGCAGAGAGTTCATCAAGCAGAACGCCACAACTCAGGGTCAGTGATTTGAGCTAACGGAAGATTGACTGTGGTTTGAGAAAATGGTCTGATTCAAAGTTTTCTCTCATTAGATAAAATGGTTTCTCTACTTCCTGAGTATGTTGTTCCATACATGATCCACCTCCTGGCTCATGATCCGGACTTTACTAAACCACAGGAATACGACCAGCTCAAAGACATAAAAGAGTGAGTATTTTCTATGTGTGTTTATTAGAAGTTAGTTAAAATGAGAACAGCTGGACTTAGCTTTTTGAAGCCAACATTTCAACAGCTTCTTCAGGGCTGGATGTCACTAAAGAATCACCACCTACCAATCTGATAGCAAAACATTGCCTTCAAAAAGCTAAGAAAATCCACTTGTTTTTGTTTTAACTCACCTTTGATATCTTATTCTTGGATGTCTCAAAATTTGCATCAGTTATTTATGTTTAAGTTTGTATTTCCTGTGATATAATATAAATGTATGTGCAGGTGCCTGTGGTTTATGCTTGAAGTGCTGATGACCAAGAATGAGAACAACAGTCACGCCTTTTTAAGAAAAATGGTAGAGAATATTAAACAGACCAAGGATGCACAGTCTCCAGATGATGTAAAAGCCAATGAGGTGAGCACTAAATACATTTTTAACACAAAATCAAAATTTGGGGTTTAAAACTGAAGATTATTTTCATGTTTACAGAAACTATATGTAGTCTGTGATGTTGCCCTTTTCGTCATTGCCAACAAGAGTACGGCTTGTCATCTGGACTCTCCAAAAGATCCTATTCTACCCTCAAAGTTTTTTATTGCGCAGGACAAGGTAAAAATCTGTTATATTTTTTATTGTAAATTGTCTGACATTATAATTCTACTGAAAAAAGTCCTAATCTCTGTGCATTATCCATTTAAACCAAACAGGACTTCCAAAATGATAAAGAATATCTGTCTGCTGAAATGAGACAAATGCTGCTGACTGGAAAGGTAAAAACTGTCTCCAAATCATCAGCAGCCTCTTTACAGTATTTATTTTTTGTACATTGGGATTAAGTTAGGATCTCTTTCCTATTCAAGCCAAAACCAGCGCCAGTTTTGGGAGCTGTCAACAAGCCCATCACAGTACCGGGGAAGAGAGTCTTTCCCAAAATCGTCACATCTTCAGACATAACCAGCAACAGCAGCACTAACTCCCCACTGACTTCAACAACCATCAACAAAAACAGGTACAAAATATTACTCTGGTGAGCTCCTATACTGAATTGTATTGACTGAAATGTTTGATTATTCTTGTGTATAATGTTTCCACAGTAGCAATACAACCATCCAGACATCCGAGAGCAGAGCACAAGAAAACAATGAGAACCCTGTGAAAAAGAAGGACGAAGCAAAGAAGGTACAAACTAATTATTTTATTACATTATAAAGATTCATATGGGACAACAGCAGAAATGAGAAGGTATGGATTGAGGTAGTCTAGATTTAGGAGTGAATCCATAAAAGATAGTTTTCTGTAAAGCTGTGCAGTTGCCATGTCCCCTTTTAGTTGAGTAATCAATCAACAGGGCAAATCTTTATGCGACCAAGAATTTCTTTAGTTGACTACAGCCCTACTGCACTCACCCCTGACATCAACATCGACATCAGTAGCTCACACATCACAGTATAATATAATATCAAAGAGCAAAAATATAAATGGTAATAATAAATTTAAAATAAGTAGCAAAAATGGCAAGTTACTCAAGTCAGACTTTAATCTATTCTGCATTTTAACACAATCTGACCAGAAAGAGCTGACTTGGTTGGAAGAACAACAGATGACCTGATTTATGCTGTTAAACAACTTTCCTACACATACCTGCTTTTTCAATAACTGTTAAAAACCGGTCTAAACTCACAAAGGTAACACACACAGCTGCTAAAATCATAGGACTGTCCACACCCAACCTTGCAGATTGTAACAACAGGGACATTGGACGCATTGCACTCTCCATAGAACAGGGCCGCAGTCACCCACCACAGGAACACCTCACCCCTCTGCCGTCACCCCTCTGCCCTCAGAACAGAGGCACGGGGCGATCAGGTGCAGGAGGTCACGCTTTGGCAGAGGCCTGATCCCCTCCACCATCACATTTCTGAACAGGCTCCGCTGAGTGCACTGTAATGTCTATTGTAATGTGTCTGTGTGTGCATTGTTGTGCTGTGTTGTTGCTGTATATGTCAAACAAGCTCTGTGTGCTTGAAAATGAATTTCCCTTTGGGAGCAACAAAAGTCATCAAATTATTGTCACATTTCAGTTAGTCACCTTTTTGTTGAAAAACAATCACCTAAACAGGACCAAGAACTCTCATATTGATCACAGGCAAATGTGTTGTTTAAATCCATTTTATATTTTTGATTTTCAGACTATTTAAAAACCATGATAACCACTATATACATACACATAGACCCACCCAATGTGAAGTCACTGCAAAATATCAATACAGAAATATAGTAAATATATCTCAGCCTCTCATAGACAAGAGGTCATAAGGAGAAAACAATGAAACGCATCCTAATCCTTTTCCAAACTGTTTCAGACTGCTCAGAACACGGCCTCATCAGACGCCTCACCTGCCAAGAGGCGTGGACGTCCCCCAAAGTCGGCCACTGGCGCCGCTGTGGTTGAAAAGGACAAAAATGCTGCAACAGCGGGAGGCGGGGCTGGAAGGGGAAAGAAGAGACCAGCAGAACCCAACGCAGGAGAGTCCATCGACATTAAGGTGTCAAAGCAGCAACAAAATGATGAAGGGACAAAGAGACAGATTGACCTGAGGTAAGAAACAAAGGAAACTCCAAAGCCTCCAGCTGGGAAACCTGCGCAAATAATCAGGAACAGCTGTCTTAAAATGTTTCTAGCTAGCTTTTTGTAAAGTTGCAGTATGAAACGTCTAAGGTGGAGGGGGTGTGCTACTTGCTTGTTTACATGGAGATGTAATTTTGTTGCCTGGATTGTTCCACAGTAGGGCACACATCCCCCTTGGATTTGTTGTTACAGGTGCGTTACAGCCCAAAAATAGCTTAAAAAAACATGAATTCTTACCAAGCACAGGCTTGCTTCTCCATAGATCAGACCATTAACTTGTCTCAATTGTGATTACCAAGTTTATTTCCATACTGTAGAATAAGGCGAACAAGGTAAATAAGGTTAAAACAGGTGGCGAACCTTCCTTCCATCAGAAAAGTTACACAGTGCACCTTTAATTCACGCTAAACTCGGGGCTGAACAGCTCAAGGGACTGGAATTGAGTTCTGAGAGAAACAAAATAAGTGACATAATTGATATAAATAACTCTGGTTATTACAGTAAATAGCAATTCATAGAACCCACAATGCAATGTTTGGCAATACTGGAAATCATCAAAAATCTCCCCACAGCCAACTCTTTGCTGTTTATTTTTTGCTGCTTATGTTATTGACAATTCTGTCAGTGGCATAAAGTAGTTTCAATCTAAAAGCCAAAGCCATCAGTGCTCTGCAGAGCTTCTATTTGTGCGTGTGTGAGAGAGAGAGGAGGGCTGTGTCGTCAGAAGAGTGCTACTGTCACAAATGCAGTGGAAAATACAGCCTACGTTCCACTGGGATTTTTCTGACACTTTGGCAGGATTGGTCGCTGGTTATGGCACACGCCATCCGGAGGAGTGCTACTGCGTCTTCACATCTATGGGGTCCTTTTATCGCCTCCCAGTGATGAGACTGAGCCCACCTAAATGCAAAACTAGACGATTGTCTGAGAAAAGACAGGACCTTATCAGTGTTCCAGAAGAGGATCTGATTTGTTCCCCTGGTTTCTGTTAAATGTTTTTAGATGAACAATTGTGATGACAGACACATGGTTCAAAAGACACCTCAATGAATATAAAATCCAGTAATTGTATTGTCTTTTTTGTTTTGATTTTTGTGCTTTTCTCTTGCAGGTAAATTGGGATTTTCTAGGGGTAAAATCATGTGGAGAAGGGGCCAGACTCTTCATACTTTCCCTGCTCTACATATGCGTTCCTGACTCTAAAGCTTTTAATGGACACATCATGGACCTCTCTAAAAACACACATTTACTCCTGTCATCATAGAGGGTTTTAAATGTCATTGTATGTAGGTCTTATTGAAATCATGTTCATTTTCTTTGTCTGCTTCATTTATGGAGCCATTTTTAAGAGAAAAAAAAAGATGGACATTTTACAAACATTTTAAACTGTTTATTATTGTCGCTTATTAAATTCCCTGGGAATAATCTTAATTCATGTCTCCTGACCTCTTCCTCACGATATCTTTGTTTTTGAGCTCACGTTTTACACATTTGTAAATATTCAGTCTTTTCAATAAACATTACTATTAACAATTGACTAAAATATTGGGACTTTTGATTGTTGGATTTGTTATGAACATAGCATTTAATCCTCACAAGGCTAGTTGCAACTCTGTAGATGTGTTTGTGTTCTCCACAATTATAGGTTAAAACCAACACCCTCAAATTTGAATAAAATTAATCTGGACTCTTGCCATAGCAGCTGGATGGTGTAATCTCTTGATAAACCTGTCAGATGAGTTTGTTACTTTATCACTCAAAGTATTGTTAGCTTGTTTTTGCACATTTTTGTACATTTAAGCAATACAATGTTTTGGTTGGTTTATCGGAAATGAACAGGATGACTGGGATAGGGTTTATTTGTTTTTATTCAAAAATCATGACAGTCACAATAAATTAACCATGCTTTAAACTGCAGGTGCTTGCTTCCCCTAGAAACAAACCTGCAAATGATTTCAACCAGATGAAGAAACAGATGCAACAGTCCCATTTTATGCTTTTGTCGTGCAAGACGCTATATGAAGGAACAGAAGGAAGACGGGGAATTTGGGCTTTTCCTTTGTCCTTTTTCATAGAAAACATACAGCCATCAATGGTGCTCTGTAGTGATTAGACATCTGCCAAGGATCTTATTTACAAAACCGGGGGTGTGCATCATGTCCCTGGCGTGAAGATTTTGACTGTAACGTATGCTGGGCAGTCACCTGATGCCCCAGCCCTGTACACAAACTAATGAGTCTTTCACTGGTCAGTGAGATGCAACTCCAAAGTAAAGACCCTGTGTGAAGAGGCATTTAACACAACAAAAACAACTGTTACCCTTGAGTACCAGCAGAATATCTAAATATTGTAGGCCTAGTGTAAGAAGTCATGCCTCACAACTGGTAAAAAGACAACTGTGGTTTTGGCATTGTGATAAATCATATTTATGTTGTAAGGGTAGTTCATTTGAACTAATTAAGGTCGAGATTTCAATGTGGCTCAGGGATGTGGTATCTTACCCTCTTTTCTTCTCTTTAGAGAATTTTCCACAATGAGGTCAGATTTAGAGGCCACTTTGGTTCCTTATATTTTTACCTTAAACCTGATGTGCTTCATGTTGCAGATCAGGAGTTTGATTAACAATTTCTGAAAAGACATGCTTGTTTCAAGTCTAAGATTTGACAACACTGTACCACATCATTTGGCCTACTAAACAAAGGCAATGTAGGAACATGCAGATTCAATAAGACACATGAACTAATGTTGGCTTTATCATTATAACTTTGCTGTGTAAAACCAAACTGAACAGGGACACCCAGAAGAACCACTGATGCATAAAAAGGTATATCTTCTGTATAATTGTAAACTAGGCATAGTTTGTATTTAAAATAATTTGCTTTACAATGTCATGTAAGAAAAGTATAACCCCAATATTTTCAAATATACACACTGATATGTACAAAAAAAGTTTTTCTTAAATGGTGATGGATTAATATCGCTTTGATATTTTCCAAAGGGCCATCAAAATATATTTGTATAGTAATTTGTCTGCAAATACTTGCAGACTCACAATAGATCAACAGATCCATCTGGGTAACAACATTGTCTTTTAGTAATTGTATGTACTGTGTAGATCCATATTTGGGGATTTTTTTATGACAATAGAAATCCTCCAGGCAGTTGACTTGATACAAATAAAAACTGAAAAAAAAGAAATGGCATGGAAGACAAGAATATGATTGAATGTCATTATAATGTCTCACATTTTGATTAAAGTAAAGAGTAGCTGTATTCACGAACAGATCATTTGCTGTGAATTTGTGAGTCACATGAGGTTGTAACAAAAAAGACCAGGCTGTTGTGACAGATGAAGACATTTCTGTGTAGTAAAAGGCAATGGTGGAATGGTGCTCAGGATGAGTTGCTATCATTTTCTTGGGGTTTTAGAATCATCAGACCTGGCCCAGACTCAGTTGCTTATCAGGAGTTCTGTTGCTGTTTCCACATCCCAAGATTTTGAAGACAATGCTGCTATTACTGCGTTCTAAATGTGAGAAAGACAGGGATAATACAATAACAATATAACAACTGTATACTTTTCAATTAGAAATAAGTAAGGCTGGGTGCTGTTACCACCACAGTAAAGGGAAAAATAAATGCATTCTGTGAAATTTACCTTATCAAAACCCATGGCACAAAGTTTGTCTATTTTGAGTGTATAGTCTGGACTGGAGACGGGAGCACCTGCATAGACGTGAGACCACAGCCTTGCAGTCTGTTTGAACATTTCTGGATTCTGTTTGTACTAAAATTTGGAAAGAAAAATCAAATCTCATCCAAGTTTAAGGAATATGAACAAACAACGCACAAACACCGTTTGGGATTTCAGACCTGATTCGCAACAACAGCATCTTGTGGATCATCTGGTTCTGCAGCAGCAAGGAGTGCTTGAAGAGACAATAACACAGTTCGAAGGGTCATGGCAGCTGCCCTGTGAATGATAACAGAAAGAAATCAATAAAATATAATCTCTAATAATAATGATCTAAATATTTTTCAAAAATGATTAATCATTCTGTGTAAACATACTCAACAATGAAGCATTACACTCACCACTGATCTTTTAAAATGTCCAAACATATTGCCCCCGTCACAGAACTGATATTAGGATGCCAGATCTTGGTAATGAAACGCACCTACAAATAATTTACATTTAATAGACAATAACAGGTCACACTTTGTAATGCTGTGTTTATAATTTAAGTCAAATACCTTTGGTGGGTTAAAAGGATATGTTTCGGGTATTTTTATTTCTAGTTGATACCTGCCCCCTAAAAAAAAAAGCCAAAAGTATCTGTTAAATGGCCAGTAAAATAACATTTTAAGAAGCCATCACAAAGCAATTAAGCGCTAATAATGTGAAGTACCTTCATAAGGTGTATCTGGAGGACCTGCTATCTCCCCCCTGAGCTCTGTGAAGTTCTCATCCACCAAGTCAACTTTGATCTGGTTTTTACTTGTCTAGAGTGAGCCAAGTGAGACATTAACAGGAGAGAGTTAATCACACAATAAAGTACTCTGTAATAACATCCAAGGAAATGTGTTGTGTTGCAACACATGATGTTAGCAACAGTTAGCTAACGTGAACTGTTAGCTTGTCCATGCTAGATTCTTTTTTGCGTTCATCATGTTTAGCCGAGACTGAGGATTAGAGGCATCTTATTTCATAAATCATAAACTGCACATTGCAAATTAACACAAGGGTTCACAAGGACAATTAGCAACAAAAAGCGCAGTTAAAGACAGCATTAATTGTCGGATAACTAATAGTGTGAGAAAGCTAATCGAGGGGAGTATATAGCAATGTCCGGTTTCATATTTCTGACAGCGACTATATGTGTCTGTATTTCACTTATTGAGACACGTCTATATCTGTTAAAAATTAATATTGTACGTCATGAGCTATATTGTTGTAATAAATTGTATCTATAAAAAGAGAGGGCCTGGCAGTGTGACAGCGTGAGCCCCGATGTTTCTTGAACACACCCTCCACACAAACAGTAGTTTGGACTAAACAGTGGAGTCATCATCAGGCTAAGGCTAAAGTTGTTCTGTTAGCAAAGGCCAGACCTGCTGCTGAACTTCAGGTTAGCGACTGTTACTGAGCTCTTTTACTTCAGCGTTCACATAGTTTTATATATGATCTCATACAACTTTACAAGAACATACTGAGTAAAAGTGAGCGCACCTCTTCGCTTTTTAAGACTTCCTTAAACTCCCGTTTGATCCTTTGCACCGCGATGTTAGCCATGGCTGTGTTCTCCTCTCCGCCGCCGCTGCTCTCGGCTGCTGCTCTCGGGGCCTCTGTTCTCCCCTCTCGCTGTGTCTAATCTTCCGCTGTTGTCCGTCTGTGTGGGGCAGAGTCCTCTGTGCTCCTCGCAGATCTGAACTATTTCCCTCTCTCTGTCTGTGCCTGAGGTGCAGCTGTAGCTCTGCAGAGGTCCGTGTGTCCGCGGGGCCAGATCCAGAACATGCAGATGTGCGGCGCAGGGACGAGAACTTTCACTACAACACTGGAGATAATAAAAAAGGTCCCGGGACCGTCCACACTGTTCTTTAACTTCTACACTGTTGGGGTCAGCTAAGATGAAGACCCAAGACCATATATTACAATGTCTCTTTCTTTCTACGTTGTGTTAAAATAACATTATGCCTCCTCATTGGTTCCTACAGTAAGTGCCCCTTTATAAACAAACCTAAAGGTGTTTTTATACCAACCAATCGGATTTCATTGTCTTTTATACACACATTCATAAAGGGACACTTTGTATAAGGCTTATAAAGTGCTTGAATATTATTTCTACAAGCTGAAGAATGATGCATGTGACACGTGAAATTTGATAAATTGTTTGACAATACACACAGTGTGAAACTACATGATCGATTGGTTGGTGTTTGAACCTTTTTGTGTGAGGAGAATATTTGTTTATTTTTAAGTATGTTGCGTCGTGGTTTCTTCATCATTCAAAGCGTTGTTGGTCGCCTTATTTGCAGGACAAGTTGATGGGTAGATATCCCACGGTATGTTTGTTTACAGTCGTGCTCCCTTCTAATTGGCTCAAAGACCCGTCTCTGCATAATCAGGACCAATGGGGACATGGGGGCTGATCTTGGAGCTTGGGGCAGAAGAGATCCTGGTGTTCCCGGATGCGATTAGTATGCTCACGTGGCCAAGTCAGAACACCACACCCCTGTGTTTAAAATCACTGTTGTGATCATAGACTGTATAAAGAATTATTATTATTATATTTATATATACAGTATGGTTGTGATGTGGTGAACTGGCACAAACAGCTCCTTTAGTTGGGCATTTATTAGGAGTTTTCCCGTCTCCCGATTGTTGTTACTAGGCTGGTTTTACTTAAAACTCTTTTGCTATTGAGGTAGATTATCATTATGCCTACAATGCAATGTTATTAAACATGTAAACATAGACAACTTTTGTGCTTATTAATAGGAAATTATTCACCACATTAACCACCACATATTGACACGTTTCTCTATCATGTTTATAATCTTCTACTGGAACAGACCTGAAACTTAAATTCCCCCCCCCCACCAATGACTTAGTGTGTTCTCACTGCCTGTATCCAATCATAATAGCTCCTCCTTATTTTCAGTCACAACAAAAGAGCAGAGCCTTGGTGAAAAAGTTTTACATGACTTCCTGGGCTCACTGCTGTTTGGTTGTTAGACAAATACCTCTAGAAAAATGGCAGAGGGTGGGTTTGATCCATGTGAATGCATATGCAGTCATGAACATGCCATGAGACGACTTCTCAACCTGGTAAGAGAGAAAGATGTGCACAATTTAGTTTTTTCCAGGATCTTAAGAAACAGGGCTACAGCTGACTGGAGGTAATTCAACACATCTTGTTTCCTACTTCCTGTTTTTTATAAACACTTGAATACTGCATCTGGACTGACTCTTTTCATTATTTATTTGTAAAGAAACACAATGTTCCTCCTGGTGTACCCTGCCATCAGAATGGTTTGAGCCATATTTCCCCTGCATTTGGTTTTGTTTTACATACGACCTCAGTCAGCTGTGTTCAGGTGGAACAGGTGGAACCTGCAAGTAAAGCTTCTGTTGCAAAGAATGAGCCTAAGGGATTTTTGAGTCTATCTTTAAAACGCTGTATGAGGTTTTATGTGTTATCTTATATTTTTATGAGTTTTAAACCTTTGTAAAGTGTCACTGAGTGTCAGAAAAAGTGCTGTTAAATAAAATGTGTTTGTTATTATTATGAAAAATATTTGAAAAGAAGAACAATAGAATTGAATGAATAATCAGTAACTGCATTTGACACAGTGCAATATTTTAATTTTTCTTGTATGTATTTTTTAGCTTCGGCAGTCTCAGTCCTTCTGCACAGACACAGAGTGCCCTCAGGAATGTATGCACTCTTTTTGTTGTTATTTCACACTGATATACTGAATACTAAAGGTGTATTTACTATGTTTAGTACCAGGTCCCGGTGGGCCGAATGGGCAGAATGACTTCACCTTGCAGATGGTGGTCATTGGATGGGTAGTACTGGCACTGCTGCTGTTTCTGTTACGACCATCGAGTCTCAGAGGTTCTCCACCCACAGACAAATCCTTTGGACCTTCCAATGTTTGTAAACATTTAATTATCTCACATAATTATCTCCTATGTTGTAATTTAATGTGTTTTGGATATAGATAAAAATCTAACTCTTCTTTTTTTCCCCTTTTTGTTTAGAATGATAGCCAAGAACCTCCTGCACCACCAATAGATTAGCAATGAAACCATAGACTGAATTGTGCATTTTTCAACTACAGTAAACCAGGAACTTTTATCACACCTTCTTTAGATCTATTTTATTTTATATGTCCTTTTTAAAAAAAAAAAAAAAAAAAAGACAAATATGTTGTTTAAATATAGCTACTACTGATCTTGAGGGGTATACTGTAAACAATACATTCATAATTAGATTCTCACATTTTAGTTTACAACTTTTTTCTATATTAGACTGACTTTTAATTAGCTTTGTGGGTAAGCTCTGGTGCTCACATGAGCCACACTTTGCTGAGACAGACTCAAAATGAAGGAGAAAGACATGGGTAAGATGCTTTCTTTCCAGAGCAGAGACTTCTTATCTTTTTTTGAAATTATTATGATTATTATTTTTAATCGCACATGCTTAACAACTTTTACATTACTGGACTCATGTAAGTAGATACTAATCTAGCTTTTAAACATACCTCATACATCCAAGAATCCAAAATAATGAAATAAAAATGTAATGACACATGCATAAAATCTTGTTGAATTTTAAGGCACTTTTGGGTATCAGTACAATCTGCACTTTAATTTCTGTAAACCTCTTTTTATTTAGTAGAATGATTTTACTTTCTTGCCTTTATGTACTATTTTCTCTTTATGGTTACTATATTTAAAAATAAAGAAAATGCAGTTCCCTAAATAATTGTGTTGTTAATATTGTATGATGCATGTCTTCATAGTCTTCACAAAAGGTTTTCTTTTATGAGATGGATGACCAGCAGGCTGTATGTAAAAGCTACACGTGTCATGTATGACGCATCCTGTAGGTGGCAGTAACGCACATTTACGTGGTTGATCAAGCCTCATGAAAACACAAAGAAAACGTGTTTCCCTTGGTTACATTAAACAAAAAGGACACTACCCCGTCCAGCTCTGTGGATCTATTATAAAATTACATCCATGACTTATTCAAACTCTACTGAGCAACATTAAACTTTTTGAATATAAAACATTTTATAGACGTGTTTAAAGTTGTCTACCAGCAGATAATATGCATTTTCGTAGCCCGTAGCTAATGGGGACAGCAAGGACACTTCGTAATGTCGATTTTTGATTCAAACTGCGAAAATGACAAATCAGGAGTTGCGGACTTTAGCGTACAGCAGGAGTCCAAAAACATCAACAAGAACTAAATTTCAGGTAAAAGACTCTTTCACTGATTTGTTTTAAAATTGCCAGGCTTAGTTGCTTTTCTTAATAGTCTACAATTGCTTTGCCAAGAATGCTCCACGGTATGGCATTAAGCTTATCTAAGCCTCTCTCTCCATGAAGACAGGCAGGCGAGGGCAGTGAGGTCAGATCTGTGGACAGGTGACCGCACTTAAAAGCATGTTTTCATAATATTTTTGAGCATTAAACACATCTGTAATTGCATAAATGCTAGTTATACGTGTTTAATGCCATGCTGAGGAACATTTCAGGCAACACAATAACGTAGTCATGGAGACAAGCAGTGGTGGAAGAAGTACTCAGTTGTGCTACTTAAGTAAAAGTATATATACCTGAGCAAACAAACAAACAAAAAAAAACCTAAAGTAAAAGTAAAACTATCATATGAAAAAATATACTCAAAAAAAAGTATTAAGTATTAAAGTATTAAAGTATCCACCTAAGTCCAAGTAAAGCACAGATACCTAAAATTTATTGGCTACTTCAGTACAGTACTTTTACTACTTTACTGCTTTTAAAATCACACAGTGCACCTTTAATAATACCATTCTTGTAGGATGAACTTCAAGCAGCCGTTTCTGCCCGGGCAAGCAGAGTCATAATGGATAAATATTCTGATGACTTCGATGAGGAGGAGGATGGTAAATTTACACTAAAAAACAAAAACACATATTTTTCCAGCTTCCAGTCACTACAATGTTATGTTATGTTGGTGCAGATTTTTTGAATGAACTTCTTAATTCAAGAAAAAAGAAGGCAGATGCATTCAAGGCAAGAAAACTCAAAACTGTCAACTTTGAGTTTTCTGATGACGAGGACAAACCTGTAACAACAAAAAGAGTTTCATTTCTAAAATCTCAAAGAATCTCTCCAGAAGGCAACCTCACAGATGAGAAGAATAAAGATGTACCTCACAGCTCTCTCGATGGTAGCGGAAATCGTAGTTCTGTTTCCCCAAACCAACTCGCAGACAGTGATCAGACCTCTGAAAAAAGAAGTGATATGGAGTCAGCTCATTCTCAGGATACGCCAGAAAACACCAGATCTGCTTCACCTCTGTCAGGGGATGCTACACAGGAGATGCCTTCACTGTCACCATCTGGTATCTGTGAAGACACTACAATACAGACTGCAGGCCCAAGTGAGTTTCCCTTTACCTCTTACCCATTTTTTCTTACAATTGCATATGAAGTTTGTTTGAATGTTTGATCTGTTAAAGAAAAGGATCTGCCCACACCCAAACCAAGGCAAAGGGCAATGCCAGTGACTAATGAACCACAAGACCAGCAGTGCAATGAGCCAACGAATCAACACAGCACGTCCAGTTGCAGTCCAAATGTGAGTCTCTCATAAAGATTCTGGTAGAGGGTCTGTCACCTGCTTGTCTCCATGGAGATGTTATTGCTTCATCTAGAATGGTCCACAGTAGAGATTAAACCCATCTATCTCAAGGGAGACAACTGCAGTCTACATTATAGGTCATATCTGTAGAGAGTTGCCCCCATTCACAGAGAGAATAATTTTATTTTGAGCAATAGAAACACTCATAATGAATAACTTTTTACCTACATGCATTAAAACAGATAAGACAAGACACATAAGTTACAGATAAGATATAGACAGTACATTTTTAATGGCTGCATTTTTTATTGGAAACATACAATCATTTTAATTTACCTTTAAATTTGTTGTTATTGGTTTCTAATTTTAAATCACAGTCTGCCCCCTTTGGCAGAGAAAGAGGATTGACCATGAGTTGTTCTGTACATAGAAACAACACAATTACCACTAGTAGCACCTCTAGTTGTAGCTCTGTGAGTACATTTTATGATCCTGGCAAATTCAGTACAGTGGTGTATCACAGTTAAGACACTTAAAAAATAATTTAAAAATTATTAAAATGGGTAAAATTTTCAGTTAAAAAGGTTATGTTTCTTTGAAATTTGTGTCTGGGCTTTTTGTCAAGGATCTTAAGGGTCATTTTGTATAATGAACAGAGAGGTTTCATTGTGGTTGAGGAGGCCTGCGACCATGAAATGCTAGACAGAAGTGTTTAATATCATACCATGGACATTCCATAACATTCCAGGCAAAGCAATAACATCTCCATGGAGACAAGCAGGTGATGGACCCTCCACAGGAAAAGTTGCACAACGTACATTTAATGTTGCATATTATTATAAAACTATTAGGACGTTTTAATCAAAATGATGGTATATTTGTTGCAGCTTTCTGAAGAAACCCATGCAGCTCTTAGTAGCAGAAGTCAGTCCTTGTCAAGTGCAGGAGAACATTCAGCGCTCACAAAGTCTACACTGGATTCAGGATCTAAAAGTAACGCATCTAATATTCTGTAGCACAGTTGAAAGCCGTGTTGACTTTGTGTGTGTGTTTTTTTTAGATGGTTATAATTCACAAGATGGTGACGGTGACAGTCATTGTCTTTCATTTGAAGAACTTGCCATAAGTCAACCACTCCCTTCATCGGTATGCTTCTGCTTCATATTAATGGATATAAGCAAGACTTAGACAAACTTTATTGATCCACAAGGGAAATATTTGGACACAGTAGCTCACACATCACAATATATTCTAATGACAAAGAGCAAAAGTATAAATGGTAATAATAAATTCAAAATGAGTAGCAAAAATAACAAGAGACTGGTGTCAAATAAGGCATAATTATAGAAATGTAAATGTATATAAATAAAATAAAGCCTGATAAACATGTATAATTATATGATACAATAATAAGCTCTGTTTACATTTACAGGGAGACTCAGGGGATCAGGCAGATTGTCCTACCAATAATTCCACTGAAATCTCTGAAAACCTGCGTGATACTCTGTACGTATCTTCATAAAGGATAGTCAATTTCCTTTTTTGTATTATTGAAATTAAAAGGAACTGTTTTTAAAAGATCATCAGCTTCCCATGCTAAAGCCTCTCGGGGTGGGAGTGCGAAGAGGACGGTGGAGTCTAAGTACCTGGGGTCCCTCCGAGTTCTGGATCGTACTTTTTCTCTCCACGACTCTGAACCACAAGCAGATTCACTACGAGCTGCTGTTTATCAGGTCACTCCTGCTGTCACACTTTGCTGCTTGGTTTCAGACGACATCACAATTTTCCATAGGCCAATAATATTTAAAGTGCGAATAACAGGTTGTGATGATTCTCTAATTTTGACTTAATTTGGTGGGATAATTTCTGTTGTGTAAATGATAGCTTTATACAAATCAAGAAGCAATTTGTGAACAAAAGTTTAAAAAAAAAAAATAAAGTGTTGAAAATTACAGGAACTTAGTTTCAACAATATTAAGGTGTTTTCTTATATTTTTATTTGTCAAAGAATAACTTCTGTGTACCTTAAAGTATTTTGTCTCCATGTACCACAGGGTTGCTAGGTAACAGTTATGGAAATCCCTACTGTGATGCCATGATTTCCAAACAGGAAGCAAAGTTTTAGTCATAAAAAATTGCCAAATTCTGGAAAAGGTGTTACATTTTTAATAAAAACTTAAATATATTTATCTTAACTGTGTTTTAATGAAATTTATTATCCAACCTGTCATAGGCACTTTGACATAGGGGGCAGCTGAAATGAATATTGTTCAAATGCTGATTTCTCAGATTTCTGTTGTAATATAGCAACTTCTTGGGTGTAGTCACAAATTGAAATTGACATATTAATCATTTGTGACTTTACCTTTTGGATATTTCATGGCAAAGTAGAATGTAATCAAAAGGGGAAACTGAATCTTGCCCTTATCTGGGAGTACGGCGTCATCACACTGTAGAAAATGAATGTAACCTTCTGATTTCTTTGTTATCACATCTTTACTTGCATTATCAACAGGAATGGGTTAAAAAGAAAAGAGGGAGTTTGAAAGAAAGTATAGAAAGGAAGAAGGAAGAGGAGAGGATAAAAGACAAAAAGAAAAAGGTAACAAAGTAAATATTATGATTTGAAGATACAATGATTAATTTGAATAAACAAAAAAATTGCAACTACAGGAACAAGAAGCTAAAAAGGAAGATGCTTTGGCCTCCTATGAAGCCTGGAAGGAAAAGAAATTAGAAAGTCTCAAAGTAAAAACCAAAGAGCAACAAGAACAGATGAGAAAGGAGCAAAGGGCACGAGAAGAGAAAGAGGAAAAACGGCAGACATCCAAACAGGTGTGATAGATTTGTTCAAAATGGACAAGCTCTATGTCTAACTATTTTCTTGTGTTTTAGGTATTTGAAAAGTGGAAACAGGAGCATGATCTTCTCCTCAAAGAAAAACACAGAAAAGCAAAAAGAGATGAAACTGAACAAAAATTACAAAAACAAGAAAAAGAGGAGGAAAGAAAAGAAGCCAATCATTCTGCCTTTACACAGTGGTGTGTTGCATGTTGTCATTATACTGAATTATTCTGTCTGGTTATTTGAATATTTGAATATTTAAACCATATGCTTTATCTCATCTATTTAAGGAACGAGAAAAAGAAAGACATCCTTCATGAAAGAGCTGCTGTAAAACGTAAAGAACTCAAAGATACCACCAAAGCTGAACACAGTTTAAAAGAAGAGAAAGATAAAATGGCTTTAGACATGTATGAGAGTTGGTTGGTAAGTAGATTTACACTTGGGTGACCAGATGTGCCAATTTAACCTGGACAGTCCCAGTTTTGAGTCTCTGTGTCCCCTTTCCCAGCAGATTTATCCAAAACCACTGATTTGTTCCAGTTTATACAAGAAATGTCCTTATTTTTGACCTGATTTTTTTTTTTATATGATACTCGACAACAGTAAAGAGAGTCATATATTGTCATTTGTTTAGCTAAAATATGCTTGAAAATGAGCATAAGGTAAAAATGCACCATCTGAAGTCCCTCAGATTATGACTGACCCGCAAGTGAGTCGTGAATGGACAATGTTACTCACTCATTTTCACAATCTAATTTATACCAACGCAACCCGGGTGTGTTCCAGTATTGAATTTCGAAAATTTGGTCACCCAATCCTATACTCTGGGTTTTTATTTGTGCAAAGTTTTAACTGTGCGTTTTATTTTAATTCACAGGCAAAGAAGAATCTAGAAAAGAAAAGACACAAAGAAGAAAAGTGGTTTCAAGGAATTCTTCATGATGGACATACCCCTCCTCCATGGAGCCCTCCAAACAAAACAATACCACGTGGAAAATAACAAATTATTTTTTATGCTCTGATATTTTTGAATATATATTTAAGGTTTTATATTTTTTATTAAAAAGGAATATTTGATATACTTGGACTGCAGAAGAAAAAAATTGTGATAATGGAGTGCTGTACTGGATCAAAACTTACAAACGCAGGGGGCTTGAATTCTTGTAGAGAAGAAAGAGGATGGTAGAGGCACTAAATACTTGTGTGTCAGTGGTGGAACGATGAAGTAAAAGTAGTAAAGTACTTACTCATTTAATACTTTAAATGCATTTTAGATATTTGTAAATTTTAAAGTGGATACTTTCTACTCCACTACATTTTTGAACTGGACTGAAAAATAAAATAATTTTTATTATCATTTGAGACCTGCTGAAACAAGTATATAAATTAAAAAAAAAACTGGTGGTTATGCCATTCTCCCAGACGGGGGCAAGAGCCAGTTTTCCCTTTTGATTACATTGTACTTTGTCACATTATATACAAAATGTAAATGCACAAATGTTGAACTTTTTTTTTTTTTTTTTTTTTTTTTGTGGTAGTAGCAGTTTATTCTGTTATTTTGCAGCACTACAAAACAAAACAAAACATAGGCTACATCCATGGATCATGACTCAAAGGGTTTAAGCTGAAATAAAAGTACTTGCCAAACCCTATTAAACAATGGCAGAATTCTAAGAAGGAAAGCAGCGTGTGAACAGCAAGTTTGCATTTACCATTTCACTTGCGACTTACTTTATATATATAAGAAACTAAATATAAATTAAAACAAACAAAATTTTATGCATAATTCATTCATTCCAGACCTCTATATCTTTCAAAACATAATGCTTTATACTCTGTTTTTAAAAGCTTCTACAGTGTAAGATTTTTTATATATATATTTTTTTTAAATCAGCACTCAGGTTGTTCCATATAATAACCCCTCTAACAGAAATACAATCACTTTGTTTTCTAAGTTCTTATCTTCATTTTTTTTTTTTTTTTTAATGCCTTTTTTTTCTTATCTATAACAGACTAGACCCAAGAAATCACCGTATTACAACAAAAATCTGAATTCCAAATATATACATTTTAGCTGATCCCCATCTATATTAAATAATATAGACCTGGTATAATGTTATCATGTCCTCTGAAACCCTGCAATTGAACAAATGTCAGCATACATCTTTCAAAATCAATACATCTGAAAGTTCATAAGATCTCAAAATCTACACGAAATACTTTTACTTTTTATAATTTGTTACTATTTCCTATTTAAAAAACGGAGTACTTCTTCCACCACTGTTACTGAAAAAAAATAGATAAATAATAAACAAACAAACAAAAATAAATAAATAAAAGTTTTTATTCACAGAATAAAGGGAATAAAACCTTTATTTTGAAACGTCCTGTAGCGGAAGTTATTGGGGGGCATTGAAGTAGTCACACGCCACCGTTAGTGAACGAGTCAGAGTGAATTCATGCTTTACTCAGACTGCAGGCGGGGAGTTTTTAAGCGTCTCGTTTTTTATTAGTCTTAGTTTAATGTTTACTGCTTCAGATCCTTAAATATACTTTTTTCTTCACTCACGATCGAAACCACGCTCATTTTCAGCACGAGTACCACTACATCAGTCTAAGCTGTGAGTTCCTGCAGAAGTTTGGTCTGTCGAGTTGGCAAAGGTAACTAAATCGTTTTTCGCAAAAGCCATCTAGGTGTGGTTAATTGATTTCCTTCAATTGTGTTACTGTGCACGTAGTATTAATGCGTGTCCCAGGTTGTCATAATGTGTAATCTAAATCACAGCTCGTAAACAGTAATTAAACAGCAGTAGCCTTGTGTAAACTAGGTGACAGGCTTGTGGGATAAAAGGTCGTTTTGATTTCTCTTGCAGTAGACGTAGGTGAGCCCAATGAATGGCTCCTTATTCCTCCTATAGCAGGGTAAAGCGGTGCGGATGGTGCTATGGCTGGCTCGTCCCTGGTTTCTTATGAGCCTTTTAATAGTTGGGCTTTGCGTTAAAAATAATAATAAAAAAAAAAACAGTATGTTGGCTCAATGTGAGTTTCCTGAAAATTAAAATAAACTCCTTGTATAGTGTGCTTCCTCTTAAAGGTGTCATATTACACAAAAATGGACTCTTCTGAGGTTTAAGCCATTTTAAAATGTTGTTACCTCCTCAAAAATGTTCCTAGATTTGTGTTTTGTTTCATTCATACATGTGAATGCATCTCCAAAACTCAAAATGCTATGTTCCACCTTGTGGGTTTGCAAAAATATCGAAATATCACTATATTGTATCATTTAATGTGATGATACAGTATCGTTATTGTCGGCTGCTGTATCTATATATCGCCAAGAGTACTGTTTGGTATATTTTACGTAATTATTTTGTTAAAGTGTTACAGTTTTGTTGCTTGTTCAGAGGAAGGAAACTTATTTATGTGACACATTTGACATTTTCACAGTTTTGATGATTAAAATCGTGTTTCATATGAACTTTGCACAAGAAGTGGTTCAACAAAGACTTTTAGTATCACAGCCATGATTTAGAAATATTTTTTATTGAACCATATCTAATTGATTTGAAATATATCGTATCGAATCGAAGGCTCACTGTATCATATTGTGGCCTATGTATCGAGGTATGTATCGTATTGGCAACTTCTTAAAGACACTCAGCCCTTAATGTCATGCAGTGGTAGTTATCACGTTAACAGCAACATTTTACATTTTAGTTTCAGCGGAGTTTGCCAATTCCAGGACTGAAAATCATCCAAATGATTCTACTGAAGGTGTATGAAGTTTAAAAACACAGTGGAGCACTTACTGTATTACCACTCTAGATCACAGGGTGGAACAAAGTGTTTTCCATTCGAGTTTAAAAATGCAGGAATTGTGTGTTAAACATGTGTGAATGAAATAAAACACAACTCCAGATCTGTTTTTTGACAAGGAAACAAAACAACAATATAACATAAATCAGAAAATAGTCTAATATGGGGCCTTTAAAAGAACTCCCTCTGAACCTTTCTCATCTTTTCTTCTGATAAAACTACATACAACAAAAAGTGCTTTAAATGTGTTTGGTGGCAGTGTTCTTTGATAGTTTCATCTTTCTTTTCTGTCCAAAATGAGCATACATGGCAACAAAAGCACACACAGATCTTGTTTGGACGGTCTCTAAGTAACCCTCACTACACTTTTAATTAAAGATGTCAGAAACTACAAAGATACTCGTGGGTATGCTGCGGATATTAACCCAGTGATCTTGTGTGTTCCCAGATGTTCCAGATAAAGAGGATCTGCTGTATTGGTGCTGGGTACGTCGGTGGCCCCACATGTAGTGTCATTGCCGAGATGTGCCCAGAGATCACAGTGACTGTTGTTGATGTCAATGAGTCCCGTATCAAAGCCTGGAATTCAGACACTCTTCCTATCTATGAGGTACTGTGTTTTTTCTTTTTTTTTTTTTTCATTGTAGTCTCTCGTTTTGATACATTTGACAGCTAAAACAATAAAAAAAAACAAAAAAACAATACACTTACTCATAGTGACCATGTACGCCTAATTAATTCCAGACTGCGATGTGTTGCAAGCCTGCGTCATCTCTGGCCACAGCCTATTACATCAGCCATTCTGAACCTCCACAGACGTTCAACCCTTGAATGAATATTTCTTGACTCATGTTAGTTTGATTGTACTATTTCATGGTCTTTTATCGTTCCTCTTTCAGCCTGGTCTGAAGGAGGTTGTTGAATCATGTCGGGGAAGAAATCTGTTTTTCTCTACGGACATCGACTCAGCCATCCGTGACGCTGACCTTGTCTTTATCTCTGTGAGTTGTACAAATTCAAACATATTAAAGGTGCATTGAGTAACTTATTTGGTGGAGGGTCTGTCAAATGCTTTTTTTTTTCATAAAGATGAATTGCTTTGTAATGTTTCGCAGTATGGTATTAAATCTTTCTAGACCAAAGCAGGCCAAGTTACAGGTCAGTTCTGTGGAGAGACGACCCCGCTCACAGTCAGAATGTCTGTTTTTCTAGGTATTTTTGAGTTATAAAACCACCTGTAATTGAGTAAATGTAAGGTTAAGCGGTTTAATGTCACACTGTGTAACATTACAGACAAAGCAATAACATCTCCATGGATCAAAGCGCTTGATCAGTGTTTTCCAAACTTTTTTCCCATATTTTAAGTCACAAACCTTCGCAACCCAAGTCAGCAGATATTTGTAAATCGCAAAATAAAGGTGGATTTGACTATTATTGAACATTAATGAGGATATTTTATTGTTGACTGAATGATTGTGTCTCTCTAAATATTTAGTATTACTCAAGTTTTAAACAATGAACAACAGGAATTGAACCAGCAATAAAAGTTTCCATAAATTGCCTATTTGAACATTAAATGTAGCCCTTTTTTTTTTCTTTTCAACATTCAATTGAACCAGCAATATTGGAACAAAATATAATGCGGACCTACATGCAGATAGTGACAAGGCGAAACCAAAACCAATCTCTTGCGACCCTGCACTTGACAGACCCTCCACTCAAAAAGTTACACAATGCACCTTTTAAGTATTTTATTTATGTATGTCTGTATAGGTGGAATGTTCAGCAGTTACCATGGTGACACGATGCACACATGAGCAAACACTGACAAAAAAGTTTTAAATTAATCTGAGAGTTCAAGAAAAAAATACAGAATATATTTAAACACAATTAAACACATTTTCAGGAGACTGATCAATACGAGGTCGTGTTTAGGAGTTTGATTTTCAACAAAAAGGTGACAGTGATGAAGTGGAAAAACTGTGGGCAAATTTTTTATGTGACAGACTTGTTTAACAGCAGAAATTATCTCACATCGGATCTTTTTGGTCAGATTGTGTTAAAACAAAGCTCAGATTAAAGTCTAACTTGAGTGACAGAGCTTCAGACAGAGCAGGGCCTCTAATTAGCGTCACACCCCAAGGAAATATTGATGACATCTACAAAGTATCTGCAACTGAATTCTGTATCATGACTGAATGTTTTCAGGTGAACACTCCCACCAAGACCTATGGGATGGGGAAAGGGAGGGCAGCTGACTTAAAGTTCATTGAGGCGTGCGCTCGGAGGATTGTGGAAATGTCTGACGGATACAAGATCGTCACAGAGAAGAGCACCGTCCCCGTCCGTGCGGCTGAAAGCATACGCAGAATATTTGATGCCAACACCAAGCCGAGCCTAAATCTACAGGTGGGTTTGGATTTTGGGAATTTCTTTTTCTTTTTTTTTCTTTTTTTTTATGATTTCTTAAGGTGACCAAGTGTATATGAAATTACAAATAAACTTGGCTGTTTTTTTTTCATAATATTAACAACATACGTCCATATATATATATATAGTTTTCTTCCTCAAAACGTTTTATTTTATCTATAATGTCTTCGCCCCCTTTTTGTTCTTTTGATCATGCATAATTCTTGTCTTTCCTTCTTTTTTATTACCCTATTAATTTATCAAATTATATTTTATTCATAACAATTTTAATAAAAAGATAAATTATTTTTATTATCATGTTCTTTTTTTTATTATTAATTTTAATTGTATTATATAGAATTACTTTATATTACAGGTTTTAGACTTTTGGAGCAATGTGATGTATGAGCCATAACGTAGCCCATACGCCACAATATATTATAATAACAAAGAGGAAAAAATATGAAAGGTCATGGTAAATTTTAAATTCCTAAGCATAATCTTGAGGGGGTATATAAGCAGAACAGAATATAAAGTACAATAATTAAAACCCTAACCCTCAACAACATAAAATATAGTTCAAGCTTATCTTTCCTAAAAAAAAAAAAAAAAGACAGAACCCAAAAGAAAAGAAAAAAAGACTATGAAGAAACTATGAAAATTCCTGCATGTCCATCTTCTGTCTTAGGTACTGTCCAACCCCGAGTTTCTTGCAGAAGGAACAGCTGTGCGCGATCTCAAGGACCCAGACCGTGTCCTGATTGGTGGAGATGAAACGCCAGAGGGTCAAAGGGCAATCAAAGCACTCTGCGCCGTTTATGAGAACTGGGTCCCCAAGGCAAGAATCATTACCACAAATACGTGGTCATCTGAGCTGTCCAAACTGGTAAGTACAGCTTGGTTTAAGATTACGGGAGAATGGGTTTATGAAGCTCAAAAGTATCCTCCCACGGGATCCAGAAGTAAATTTCCCATTCATTTTTGCCATAGACTTTCTGTTAAACAAAGAAAAGTCAGCGGTGGAGACAGATACTTTACTGATCCCAAAGGAAATTCAAAGTTCGGCAGCAGCAACAATGAAACAAACATAAGAACCACAAGACCTACAGTTTTATTTTACATTTGTTTCTGAAACTTCTTCTGAAATCGGTATGAATGAAGTTTTCAATGTGCTTTTAAATGAGCTTTTTGTTCAACACAACCGCCTGGATCTTAGGCCACATAGCTGGTTACGCTCTGCTGTGCTCTTAATACTTGAACTATGGGAAAATGAATGGACAATTTACTTCTGGAGCCACAGTGGGCTTCGAAGTGGACAGGACTTTTGAGCTCTGTTGAAATGGGGGCAACTGAAATAATTGGTTATACAGTTTGTGGAGTGGAGTGTTTTTTTTCTTTGACTTTTACTCTATCATTGTGAGTGTTTAAACTTTATTGTCTTTTGTGCAACATCAGGCCGCCAATGCATTTTTGGCACAGCGAATCAGCAGCATAAACAGCATCAGTGCACTGTGTGAATCCACGGGAGCTGATGTGGAGGAGGTCGCTAAAGCCATCGGCATGGACCAGAGAATAGGCAGCAAGTTCCTCAAAGCCAGTGTTGGTAAGAGACTCAAGTTAAACTGGGTTAAATCTCAGTATTATAGGTTAATAACACAATAACTCTGTTTCTTAGGCTTTGGAGGAAGCTGTTTTCAGAAGGATGTGCTCAATCTGGTTTACTTGTGTGAGGCTCTCAATCTTCCTGAAGTTGCCTCCTACTGGCAGCAGGTGACAACTGTGTATTTTCTTCTAGATTTACAACTTGACACACTTTTTAATTTGTAATTTGTTTGATGTTCTGCTGTAGGTGATTGACATGAATGAATATCAGAGAAGACGCTTTGCCTGTAGAATCATTGACTGCCTCTTCAACACAGTAACAGACAAGAAAATAGCTCTTCTTGGTTTCTCTTTTAAAAAAGACACCGGGGACACAAGGTTAGTGGAATTAGATTCAGTGATACTACTATAGTTTACTCAATTCTTAAATTAGAAAAACATTATTTAGTCTACTATTCTGTATTTCTTTACCAAAGGGAGTCTTCCAGTATTTACATTTCAAAGTATCTTATGGATGAAGGTGCCAAGCTGTTTATCTATGACCCCAAAGTCCTCAAAGAACAAATCATCCATGACCTCTCCCAGCCCAGCATTTCAGAAGACAATCCAGAGAGAGGTAAACCCTCAAATCTCACATGGAATAATAAGAATACTGTTAATTATTAATATTAATTTCTTCTTTTCATCTAGTATCCCAGTTGGTGACAGTCACCTCTGATCCTTATGAAGCTTGCCAAAGTGCCCATGCTTTGGTCATTTGCACTGAATGGGACATGTTCAAGGTAAAAACATCTTTACTGGACTCTAATGTAGTTGAAACATTGTTAATTTAAGTGCTTTGTCTTTCTTCACAGGAACTTGATTATGAGAAAATTCATAAGAAGATGTTGAAGCCTGCTTTTATATTCGACGGACGCAGAGTTTTGGACCATCTCCATCCTTTGCTCCAGAACATCGGTTTTCAGGTGAGACGCAAATGATCAGTAAACAATGTGTATTATATATCTATATCCTGAACCAAACTTATATTTTAGAAACATTTGAGCAAATATTGATGTTATTCTCTCTGCAGATTGAGACCATTGGCAAGAAAGTCGCACCTACAAGAATCCCCTACACTCCTGCAGCTGTAGGTCCTCGCATCGTCCCCAGTGAACCCCCACCCAAAAAAGCCAAAGTCTGAATTTCTCACAAATTCCTCACTATGCCATTTATTGCTGGTCATCTTCTACTGTCCCCTTCATTTGACCTGGTCATTAAGACACTAAACTGTGACGAATTGCCTTCTTAATCTGCATTTATTGCATTACTTTTCATTGTGACCAGGTCGAATGTACTCCCACAATGAAACATTCCCGGTAGAAAGGCTTTGTATAACGATTTATTAACATTTCTTTTTATTCTCATTTTTGGCGATGCATTGTATTAACAACCAAGCATTTTTTTACTATTAACATGTCATGTATTATTGATAAAGAAAAATACATTTTAAGTATTTTAAAATATTTTTATAAATTGTGTATAATTCATGTCTTCTGTATCTGAATTTGTAAGGGCCAATGCAATAAAATAAATGTACTGTCTGTCCATGTTATTCAACTTAGCAGAAAAAAACACATTTTGTTCTCTCAACTCTTTTAAAAACCAAAGGCTTAAATTGATCTTAAATCAAATATTTACTCACCAAAACTATAGTACTGCATTTATATTTATTGTATGTGTGATAAATTTATATTAGTGCTTCTCTGTCCAGTGACCGTGACTATTCAACACTTTAGTAGTTTTATTTATTCCGTGAGTTTTAATAACTTAATTTAGGTCACAGTGTTCTCCAAAAACATGGAGATGAGGACAAAACCTTGAGCTGTCCTTGTCTCGAGGTTTCACTATCCCTCACTCACTGGAGTCGTTAAAAAGTAATTTTACATGTTAAGCATGTGAGGGAGGGCATTGATAAGATAGGAAGATATCTTCAAGATGTCCTGACCTGTTAAGTTTGTATCATGGTTAGTTGCACTGTCCTTCTGAGACACACTTAGTAACTGGTCTCTCCAATTTAGCTAAAGATTTGTGTGCTTTGGACATGTCCTGATACATTATACTTTTTTGTGTACATGTTGGTATATTGAGGTATAAAAGTATAGTGAAAATGGTAAACACTTATATTTCAAAGCATCTTAGTTTCATTCTGTTCCTTCGGCTTTTCTTTTGTCCAGCAAGTTTTTCAGAAAGAATTCACCTGTAAACACACAGTAAAAACATTCATGCACCACAATGTTACATTTTGCAAGCACTAGAAATACAACTGAATGAAACACTGAACTTCTTTCGTTCGTACCTGCTTTGTAGGAGGATCGCACTAGAGGTCCACTGGCAGTGTACAGAAATCCCATGTCATTTCCAACTTTCTCCCAATGAGCAAACCTCTCTGGAGTGACATACTCTTCCACCTAAATCCAAACATTATCTGGTGACTCTTCAGATATTAAAAAAAACAAAAAAAACAGGTGATATGAACAGTTTGGTAATATGTCTACCTTAAGATGACGTTTAGTTGGCTGCATGTACTGCCCTAGTGTTAAACAGTCAACACCAGCTTCTCGCAACTCTGCAAAAAAATTAAAATAAAAAATCTGAATTCTGAACATTTCTATACATGTTATTCCAAAAAACGGTGAAGTGGCTTATGTACAAACCTGTCAGTGTGTTCTGAATCTGTTCATCTGTTTCCCCTAATCCCAACATGATAGATGTTTTTGTGAGAAGAGTGGGTTTAACTTTCTTAGCATGTTGCAAAACCTTCAAAGACTGGACAAAGTTTGCCCTGGGGTCACGGACATATCTGATAAACAGAGGGACACAGAGGAGTGAATATGCACAATCATAAGCCTAGCTGTTGAGGATTAAGATGCAGGGCCTGTACCTTTGCAACTCTCGAACAGTTTCAACATTATGAGCGTACACATCCAATCCTGACAATGCAATTTTCTCCACTGACAACAGGTCACCACGGAAATCAGGTGTGAGACATTCAACTAAGATTTTTGGATCCCTAAATACAGAAACAGGAAACAAAAACCCATTAAATACATCCCAGAAAAGGGAAGAAAATATTAAATGGCACAATTTACCTCTCTTTTATGTTGGTAACTGTTCTGGCAAAGTGTTCTGCCCCTCCATCTGCAAGGTCTTTAAAATATAAATCGTGAAATTATTATACCATTACCTCTCAAGACATTTTAATTGTTTTTTTTAATGAATTACCATCTCTATCCACTGATGTTAAAACTACATAGTCGAGACCCCAGGCAACAATTGCCTTTGCAGTATTGTAGGGTTCATTCAGATCAAGAGGAGGAGGCAGACGGGCTGTTTTTACAGAGCAGAACCTGCAGCCACGAGTACATGTATCCCCCATCAGCTAAACAAGGAAAAAAATGTGAGAAACTTAGGAAAAAGTAAAAACATAACATAATGCCACCGTGAAAGAGAAATTAAATGTTTATTAATTAAAAAATTAATTAAATGTTGTGATAAATGCTGAAGTAATGAAATGTTGAAATGCAGATATTCCCATATATAGTGAATATATGTGAGCATACATAGCCTTAGCAGCATGATCCTGTTTGGCATCTTCTCAACAAAGTAAGTGATTGATTTTTCAATAACAAATACATATAAGTAAATTTATCACAGTGTGTAATATTTAGTGCTATCAGTATAATTATTAACACTTAAGTAGCACTCTATGACAATGGTCATATCACCATAATTGTTGCTGTTGCGGTAGAATATTCTCCTCCTCCCCAGCACTCTCCGATGTTGGGACACCTGGCCTCCTCACAAACCTAAAACAATAAATGGTGTTGAAAGCAGCCAGAGAACTGTTGACATCTCCTGCACATATACAAAACTTACTGTGTGAAGGTTAAGGGCTCTCAACGTCTTTTTGAGTCTGTTGTAGTTCTTCCCTATAGGAATTTCAGTCTTGAGCCATGGAGGAAGCCTTAATCTGTCAGAAAATGTAGACAAATATAGTAATTAATAAATATTGTGGTTTAGCTGATATCATATAAAACAATAAAAGATACAAAGCCCTTAACACGGTGTTAATCTATACATGCAACATAATAAACGGGGTCGTTCCCATTATTCAACAAACAACATTCTGATTTGATCTTTGAACTCAAGGTTTACCTTTCTCCTTTCTGTCTCTTCAGATTGCCTCTATACTCGGCCCATTTGCTTTTCTCTGATAAATCTCCAGAAATAAAGTCTTGAAGATTGGGTCCATCATCATCCAGAATCTCCTTCTTTCTGTCAGCACGTTTTGGGGAGGACTTCACTACAGTTGACAAGTTACTTGTGTAAACCTTTACACAGGAAAGAGGCAATTTAAAAACAGTATGTGACACATACTGATGGTACTGGCTAAATAATGTCAGTTAACAATTAATTGTTGATGTTGTTTAGGGCTAATGTTGAGTTTATATGATCATACTGGAAATAACACTGCACTTCCATGCAGCACGCATTTGATTAAACACTTAAAAATTTGCAGGACTTTTCTAGTATTTCTGACGCAAGTTGTGATAACGTAGTTGAGCTGTCAAACTAGTACGAGATCCTCACCCGGGCATACAGAAACTTCTTTTCAACTCCAAGACTGAGAATACTTACTGCAGGACTGGCTCTTGAAATCCGTAATAGTTGCGCGGTGGAAAAACGACCTGCCAAACAATAATTGTGTATAAACAACGCCATGGCTATGGGCTAGCTTAATGTCATTGGAGAACAGCGATTCTACAGATCAACTGCTTTAGCCTTGTGTTGCGTTCATAGAACATCAGCAAAGAGAGATAAACAACAGTTTATGTGTTAATTAATTCACACTTTTAATCGAAGTGAAAACATTATTGTTCTGTTTTCAATATGTTTGTGTTATTTTAGTAAATGTATAGAATATGGGAGTCAAATATCCCAAAGTGTAAATTGTCGATCGGATTTTAGTGATTATAATGCCTGAAGATGACGCGTACGTAAACTACATTTTCGTCATCACGTCCTTCCTTCCTCCTTTCCTCTACTACCGGCGAGGTGAGGGAATCTGGAGTTTTTCTGCCCAAACAAAATCTAACTTCATCTTTCATATTGTGTCGATTACCTTTGTGTTTTTGTTATATTCATACACTTTAAAAGTTGATCATCATAATAGGCCCTGTATTGTAGCAATTTGTGTTGCACATTGTGAGTTTGATTAATATTATCTCCCATACGTTCACTCCGAGGCCTGCGTTGTAGCTACATGCTAAACCCGTTTAGTGTCACTATTTTCTCATGTTAAAACTCACTTTCTGTCTCACCTCCTCACCACTAATCGTACATTTATATAGACGTTTCAGTGTGTGTTGAGGTCGCACTGCTTGCATGTTGTGTACTATTTGTTACAGTCAATGCTATGGGGTTTATTTGAATGGCGCTAAGCTAAGGTTTAATTCTGAATATGGTACCATGCTGCAATATTTATACAACTTTTATTTGTGTTATAGAATGAAGACCATTCTCAGCAGTCAGGTTGTGGATATCCCTGACAATGGTGAGTTTGTGATTAAGTTGATTGGTGTGGGTTGTCATCGTTGTGTTGTTTCTAACAGACTGTGTTTTTGCAGTGGATATCAAGCTGAAGGGGCGGACAGTGACTGTCAAAGGGCCCCGTGGTAAACTTGTCAGGGAGTTCAACCACATAAACCTGGAGCTCAGTCTTCTGGGCAAAAAACATAAGAAGGTAAATGTAATTATAATGCGAAATGTCTTGTAGAAATTGCGTTATAGTAGTGATAAAGTGAGGCTGACTTCCAAAATACCTTTGAAATAGTTGTCTTTTTGAGAGTTATTGCTGGTTTTTAGATTGTAGATTGTGATGTCTTACTCCAAGGTGGGGGGGAGAGAGAGAGACAGTTTTTTTTGTTCTTTGCCATGAAATATCGAAAGGTAAATTTCCAAATATAAAACCTGATCATTTCTATTATTGACTAGATCCAAGACCATGCTATACTGTACTACAACAGAAATCTGAAGTTGAACAATGTTAATTTTAGCTTCCCCCATCTGTGTTAAATATTGCCCTATAGAATGAAACTCAGTATTAATATTAATCTGTTTTTAGCTGCGTGTGGACAAATGGTGGGGTAACAGAAAGGAGCTGGCCACAGTTCGCACAATCTGCAGTCATGTCCAGAACATGATCAAAGGAGTCACTTTGGTAAGTCAGTGTTGTTGGTGCATCACACCTTGTCAGAAAGGCCCAATACCTTCAACAGCACAGGAGCAGAGCAGCAGAAAATATGCCAAGGACCTCCTGTCCTTTCCACAAATGCATTACATTAAAATTCTGAAGTTAAAAGCATGTTTATAACGAAATATGGATCAGATTAGTTTCTCACACTATTTGCTTAATTGGTGTCATTGTTTCAATCAAAACATTGCATGTTTGGGGTTGTATTTCTTGAGAAATTCTATTAATATTTGTTATCATGAATGTTTGGGGGACCCCAATACATGTCCCACCCAACTAATGTGTGTGGGGAAAAATTATGGTAAATGATTTATTGCAAAATCTATCTCATGGAGCAGTTTTCTAAACTTTGTTTGTCCTTAGGGTTTCCGCTACAAAATGCGCTCTGTATACGCCCATTTTCCCATCAACGTCGTCATCCAGGAGAATGGAACAATGGTGGAGATCAGAAACTTCCTGGGAGAGAAGTACATCCGCAGAGTCCGAATGAGGGGTGGTGAGTACAAACATGTGTCTGTGCCGTTTATGTCGACAGTGGCTCAATGGGGAAAGCAGTGGTCCCCCAACCCGACGGTTGAACCATTCCCACTCAGTTCTGTCTTGTTCTGAGGCAAAACTTTCACATCCATGTTGGACAGTTTAAATGGGAGATTTCCTTGAGTGCGGTGCTTTACCAGGTTTTTTTTGTCAGATGCTGAGAACACTGACTTGGTAACAGCTGTTATCGCAGACTTGATGTTCACTTGGCATGAATTTTACGGTCTATATTTGTTATGAATTCCATTATTTGTAAAGGGACACCACATATTAATGAACATTTTAAAATGTAAATATATAAAGATTATAGCCGCTGTGGCTAGTTTCCATCTTCAGTCCCCAGGTTGATATCTACTATGGTTGGATGAAAAATGTATTTAATCAACTTCTGTCAATCTATTTGAAATAAAATAAACTGTTTTCCCCACTTTCATGCATTGGAAAATGTCTGAGGCTGCTTGTTTAATGCAGTAGTTTTTTAGTTCATTAACTAATCACTAGTGAAAGTGATGAGCTACAATGGTTGACTACCACAGAGGAGTGAAATAACAGTGTAAAGCACTTTGGTTGTCTTTAAAGGCTCTATATAAAGCTGGTGCATTGTTACTCATCTCATTTGAGTGTAAAGTGCTTTTTAAAATGTATTAAAGTTGTTAGCTGATTTATTGACAAAAGGAAATTGCATTTAAATTCAATCAGGAATGTTTTGAAACTTTGTACTTAAGCAGCTTAAAACTTCAGTGCAGATACGACTAAGAGGTTCTTTCAGCCAAACTGTGCTTAAAAAGATTTAACAGAGCTATTGTTTCCTGCAGGTGTGTTGTGTTCCACGTCTGCTGCCCAGAAGGACGAGATTGTGCTGGAGGGTAACGACATCGAGCTGGTGTCAAATTCAGGTGTGTAATTGAATTTCAAATGTTTCTCTTCTGTTGTGTTCATTTTTATTCACCATCTTTTTTTTTTTTTCTTCCAGCCGCTCTGATCCAGCAAGCCACAACAGTAAAAAATAAGGATATCAGAAAATTCTTGGATGGTATTTACGTTTCTGAGAAGGGAACTGTAGTGGAACCTGAACAATAAAGAACTGGGCAGAAATGTCAAACTCGGATTGTCCAATAAAAGCTTAATAAAACACACTTTTCCATACCTAGGTATTTTTATTTTATTTTTTATACTTTTGAATAATTGCAAAGTGAATGCATTTGAGTTGTTAGAAAGAAGGTACTCGTGGGCTGCAAAAATTTCAATAGCTTGAGTTTTCAGATTTTTTTTACATGCTATCAAAACTACCTGCAGGCATAAAATGTAATTTCTTTACTACAAGCAGACTAGGCAGTGGCCTGGAGATGACTAGAACAAATGTGATATACCCAGAATAGCCCACATGATTACAACAATTACTAGTTTTGTTTAAAAAAAAAAAAAATATGAAAGTGCTTTAACTTCTGGTGAAGGGTCTGTCACCTACTTATTTGCTAAGTAGGATGCTAATGTTTTATTTGGAAAGTTCCACAGTATGGCATTAACTTCATCTCTATAGAGAAAAGCTGCCAGTCTCAGCAGGCGAAGTTAGGAGTCTGATGTTTTTGAGCAATAAAAACACATGTAATTGAATGATGGATAGGTTTCATGCCTTAACTATGGAACATTACTGGCAAAGCAAATGGGACTGTGGGAACTATATAAAGATGACACTGCACATCATATACAGATATTTGATGATTCTGGAGGCTGGTCTTGAGACTCTGCTCTTGAGTGACCCACGCTATTCGCCTGGCTTTGGAGCGGAGGAGGAGCTGCCCTCTGCGCTCCAGGAAAAGGAGACTGGACTTGTACTTGGTGTTGACCTGAACAACAGACAGGACTGGATTTAAGACAGTGCAACATGTTTTAATTGTTTTGTTGTACTTTGCCATTGCATATCTGTGTTTCGTTCACAATGAGGAGTGGCACAGTTTAAATTAGGATGAAAACAATAGCAGTTTGTTTTAAAGTCGAGGTACTTTACAACAAGTCAAAGTGTAAGGAATTGAAATGGCCATCCCTTCATATTTTCTCATCTAAAACAGCCCCATTCATGAGCAGCACAGGGCAGCGGGGTAGGAAATCACGTCTATAGTTGAAAGGCATCACTACTACCATTATTTGGAGTAATACTAGTATATGTATATTTGTATTTTCAGTAGATCCATGATTTTTATTTTACATGCCCATGTTTACATACAGCGACGTGATACGTAACCGGTTCTGCGTCATTTCCAAGCGACGGCAGGATTGTGCTTCGCGCCAAGCGGTGGATTTTCTTATTATCCTGACAACAAACCTGACAGTAAAGTGCAGGAATAAAAGTCTCTCTAGCAATGGTAAGTGACCTATTAGCAAGCACGAGTATCTTAATACATGTCACAGATTTAATCTGCGATTAAATGTTGTATATTTAATGAGTTCTCTTGATAAACTCGTGTTGCGCCAAACTTTCCCTTAATTAGCTCAAGCTCAAGCTAAAATCCTGCAATGTTAAAAAACCATTGACCTTCTAAAGTAACTTGAAGATGTAAGGTTAAGCCGTGCCCAGCGTGTGCACAGTGTGTTTTGTGAAGATGTTATGCAGATCTTATTTTGTGTTGTTTGTGTGTTTGTGACCTGCACATATGCACATAGACCGTGTACAGTTTATGCGGGTCATGCACTGACAGCTCTCTGCACCACAGGACATCAGGAGGTTCTTCACATCCACAGCTGCAAAACCTGCGGTGCAAAAACCTGCCTCCAACGGTAAAATTAACGTTAAGTCAGATGACAAGAAGAAGACTATTACCTTGTCTTCAGACGAGGAAGTCAAGGTTCAAAAGAAGACAAAGGTTACTTCCACTAAATATTAGTTTTTCTATCAGCATACTTTTATTATTGCTGTTATTATAATTATTTTTAATTCCAGGTTTCCAAATCAGGAGAGAAGCGTAAAGATTCGGAGAAAAAACGCAAGAGACACGCAGTAATAGAATCAGGCAAGTATTGCTATACAAATCTCAGAACACACATGTATTTGTGTTGGTATTTATCAGATCTGTGTATGTCTCCTTTCTAGACTCAGAAGAGGAGAAGCCTGTGAAGTCAAAGAAGTCTCCTAAAGTGAAACTGAAGAAAGAACAGCCTCTAAAAAAAGATCCAGTTCAGTATGTCTCAGAGACAGGTACATGTTTTTGACTGATGAAGGATATTTTGTTAAGTGTCCTCCAAGTTTTGCTCTTTTGTTTGCTCTATTATATATGACTCAGTATATCTTACTGATTATGATGATCTAATCACTTGGTCTCTGCAGATTCAGACAGTGACAACTTTCAAACCTTGAAAAAGGCATCTCAAGCTAAACAGAATGGCAATGGAAAAACAGAGAAGACAAATGATAAAAGGACTAAAGAGAGCAGCAAATCTCCCGTAAAATCTTCCACTCAGGGGAAACCGGTCCTAAAATCTCCTGTCACCCCTAAAGTAGCTCCACCTCCTAAACCTAAACAAACCCCGACTTCAGTCTTTGACTATTTTGGCAGCAGGGCCATTCAGCGCTCAGATAAGAAGCTCGTGGCCAGTACCAAGCGAAAGACTGTGAGTGTTTGTTTTAATGACGTATCTGTTGTTTATGTTCTGCTTTTTTACATTTTGTGTTTCTGTGCAGCCCATCGAAGATACAGATGATATTAGTGATGAGCAACTTGCCAGACAGCTGCAGATGGACGAGGACATGCAGGTATGAGTTCAGTTAAATTATTCAAGGTTAAATGCCAGGAGTGCATTATTCTGTTCTAAACTATAATATACAAAGGTGAAATGACTTTGCTGTCTTTATGCAGTTGGAGAAGCAGGTCCATGAAGATGAGGAGTTTGCCCGAACCCTTGCTATGTTGGATGAAGAACCACTGGCTAAAAAAGTAATTTTCAATTTTCAGTGAGCAGTACTTGTGATAGCCTACGTTTCTTATCATTCTGTTTGTTTTCCCAGGCTCGTAAAGGCCCTGATGATGTGAGCTCCAAGAAAACCACAGAATCTGCATCTGGTTCTAACAGTACTCCAATAAAGTTACAGCGGAAAGAAAGCTTTTCAGAGGATGTCATTGCCCCATCGCCAAAGAAGAGCCCTGTCAAAACTAGCTCTAAAATTGCGATGATGAAGAAGAAGGATGAGGATAAGGAAATGTCAAAGAATAAAATTATTGTTACACCCAAAAAATTAATCTCACCTAAAAAAGAGAGCATGTCTTCACCAACTCCAGAGAAAAAATTTACACCCAAATCAGGAACAGCACTTACTTCTCCAAGGAAAACAGAGGTGAGGCAAAGTTGACTAAATGTCCCATATTACTCCTCATATTATTTCCTCATCAAAAACATACTTAGAGTTGTGTTTTATTTCATTGATATGGGTTTGTTTAGGCTGTTATTCTCTCAAACAGAAAACACTCCATGTGGTAATATGGGAAATGCACCACTGTTTTTAAACTTCATACACCTTGACTAAAATCATTTGCATGTTTTCAGTCATGGAATTGCCAATCCCTACTGAAATAAAGGGAAAAGGTAGACGTTAACTTGAAAACTAACAAACTTCATGACATCACAAAGTGGAACAGAGCATTTGAGGTTTTGGAGATGTAGACAGGATAATAATAAAGAATTACTCAAACATGTGTGACTGAAATAAAACAACTCTGGGTATGTTTTTATATAGTTAATATAGGACCTTTTTAAATTATAATAATGACGGTGCAGTTATTTATTTATTTATGTTTACATTGTTGTATTAGAATACAAGTACAAGTCCTGAAGACTCAGAGAAGAAGAAAGGCAATGCTTCAGCTTACAGAAACTACCTTAACCGTGACGGTCCAAGGGCTCTAGGTTCCAAAGAAGTCCCACAGGTAATAATTGTATTTAGGGCACATTTCTGCTCTTGGTCTGTTCATCATAACTAACTACTGATTGTAATTGTGCTGGACTTTGCAGGGAGCTGAGAATTGCCTGGAAGGTTTTGTGTTTGTCATAACCGGAGTACTAGAGTCCATGGAGAGGGATGATGCCAAAGCACTTATTGAGCGTTACGGTGGGAAGGTGACAGGCAACGTCAGTAAAAAGACCAACTACCTGGTCCAAGGGCGGGACAGCGGTGTCTCCAAGCTCGAAAAGGTTTGTTCCTTTGCTAACATGAAACTGGAGTGATTTACACTTTTACCAGCTATGGT